TAAAATGTGAAATTTATAGTATTATATGTGAATTATTTAATATACTAATGTGAGTATATTATTATATACTCTACTATAACTTATATACACTTAAATATATAAAAACTTCTGAATTTTCAATTGAAATTCTTTCGATACGACAATTTCCTATTTTAAGATAAAATAAATTCGATTTGATACAAAAACTATCTAAATATTTATAATATAATTTTCCAACGTTGGTACGGTTATTAATATCCTTTTCTTAACTCTTTGAGGTATGGTAGGATTAAAAGTGTCCCACCTTTTTGATACATCGTAATGCACGGTGGGACATTTTTAGTCCCATCTCGAAATATTATTGCAATTTCTACACGTGCTCATAATCTTCTATTTCATCTTATTTACACAAAGCAATTGGTTATTAATTCTTCGTTATTAATTTTTTTTTATGTTTTTACATTACGTTTATATATTTATTAATAAAAAATATACCAATTTTATTTCATTTAAAACGTAATAAAATTTTGTATGCAACATAGGGCTATTTTATTATCTGAAATTCTGTGCCGCAAAGAGTTAATAACTTGAAAGAATATTAAAAGAAAAAAAAAACAAAAAAGAAACAAAAAAGAAATTTTAAAAAAGTATTAAACGTAAAAGGAAAATAATATTAGATTATTAAGGCTTGGCTTGACCAATATGACGATATAACAGAGGGAGTCTACTATACAACAAGGCAGAAACTCTGGGTGATTCGTTGGGTAGAACAAGCACAACGGATAATTCCCCTCGGTGTATATAACTGAGGTAACAATTTGTTACGGGGTCGTTGTTCAAACGAGTATAAACACTGACGGTTGATTGACCCGACGTTGTCGTCGGCGCGACGCACATAACCGAGCTGATCGTTCTTCTATCTACCCTTTTTCTTTTCTTTTTTTCATTCCTTCTTTCGTATTCCTTCTTTTCGTAAAGAAAACAATAAAAAACAAAGATTAAAGACAAAATCATTTGAAGATCTCGAACACACAAACGTGTGTGATTTATATTATAATAAAATAATTTTTTTAATATCTTCAAATATAATCAGATAAACTAGATATTTATGATTAATTGGAAGTAACATACAAATATGATTGAAAAAAATAATACTTAAAAGAAAAAAAAAAGAATGTTAACCCCTTTCAGAACCTGTGCACATTGTAATATACATAATACTTTACGTACATTTATTATACAAATATTTTTCGTGAGGACCATATGTCCATTAAAATGTACATTTACAAATTATAAATAAATAAATAAAAATTATATTGTTACTTTCATTCACATGAATATTAATTTTAGTATAAACATAATTTTTCCTAAACGAAAAATAATTCGGGTCTAAAGGGGTTAAAACAAAGAAAGAAAAAGAGAGAGAGTTTTAAGGTAAGTTTTAGTTTAAACAATCTCAAATATCAATAGAGTACAGAACTGTGTTCAATTTATCTTAATTGATTGATAATTAATCGGAAAAAATGCATATTGCAGTTTAGAAACCACGGAGTATAAATTCGACGTACCATTCTTTTCGAAATCCAACAGTAAACTGATTCATTGTCCTCTATGAAAATTGGTTAAAATTTTTCCATTGATCGTTGTTTATATTACTTTCCGAAGGATACATGCATATAACGAGAATAATATTCACAATAAATAGAATATAGATTTTGAAAGTCATATAAACATAACTCAATAAAAGAAATTTGAATGACTTTTAGTTGAGACAGACGAACGGTGAATTTCGAAGAGAATGGTACATCGAACTTATAATCCGTGCTTTTTTAAATTACTGCGATTAATTAACAATTATTTAAAATATTTCCTCCCTCCATAAACAAATACATCTCACACACACCTCACACACATTAGAACCTTCCATAATTTCATTTAACTATTGTGAATCGACTGTGGGCTCTATCTCACTCTTTCTATCTCCCCTCATTCCCTATCTCTCTCCCTACCTCTATAATTCATCTCTTTTCATACCATTTTATAACATTTTTTCATTACCGACGTCTAAATAGAAGTTGTTTCACTTCAGTTATTTTTTAATACAAATAAAATATATAATGAAATTTATTGTTATAACACGACTGAAATTCTCACACACGAGCATGATTCAAAATAATAATATATACTTAAATAATTGTTTAATACAGATGAAATGAATAAAGGAATCCATAAATTTCAAACTGTTCAAATTGTACACGCACTAACCAGAAGTGATTTTCAAAGATTAATAATAATAATTAAAATAACTCTCTCGAGACCCTCTTAACTCTTCAAAAATACTTTCACTGACTTCGACGATGACTTCGACCTTTCCTTCTTTTTTTTCTTATTCTTCCTTCTTCACGATTCACTCTCGATCTTTCACGATTTATGATGATATATAAAAGTGAACTTTTCTAATGATAATAGAAAAACTTTGTTTCCTACAAATATTTATTGTTACAAATGTTATTAAATATTTTATAATAATTTTAAATCATACTCGTGTATGAGATTTTTATTCGATCGAATATGATGTATTAATATATAATATATTTACTATATCTACGATCGATGAAACTGCACCTTTCAAACGGCTATGTAATTTCCTAACAATTTCTTTACCAATTTTTGGTTCTTCTTTCTTTGACTTATAATAATAGCTTAAATAGAATTAATTTGATTATAGTGTTTCTTGTATGAAGAAATTAATTGAAAATAGTCATTGAAATACTTTGCTTGAAACATAGAATTGATGGAATGATCTAATAAATAAAAGTACAAAAATTATGATTGTTGTCGAAAGTATTGACTCTTGACTAACTAATTATTAACTTACTACGATAATGTAATATGAAAGTTTCATCATTTCCACATTCGCTTTCTATTAATAAATGCGGGAATAGACCAGCTAGTTACTTTTCTTGTCAGTAGTACACACTTGTCACGACACGTTTCTAAAGCAACTGGATCATTCGACTCGATATGTTTCTTGATCTCGACTAATCTCGAAAACGACTAAAGTATTACGTTCGATTGAATCCATCGTTTTTATGAAAAATATCATTTGGATTAACATACCGTGATAAAAAACATTATCATAATATTCTCTAATTTATTTTGTAAGTATAAACAAAAAATATAATTTAATAATAATCGTAAATAAAATGTAAATATAATTTTAATATTATTTATTAGTATGTTTTAAAATATGTAAAATGATCATGAATATTTTATCTAGTTTGTGAATGAAAAAATATGGATTATAAAAACATTTTTAAAAATATGGACTATACAAAAAAAATTTGATTAAGTAAGTATATTTTTATGAAATGTCTGTCAGATCATTATTGATATTATATTTTCCTCGTAAATCAAAAAAATATATATTATAAAAACAGGAAAAAAAAGAAATAACCATAATTCCATGAAACATATGTGAAATGATGATCGATATTTTGTCTATCGTGTGAATAAAAGAACGTGAACTACAAGAATAAATATAAACTTAAAAAAATATGAGATAATTATCAACAAATATTATTTCAAAGGTAGTTTATAACTTTAAAAACAAAATTAAAATAATACAGGTATTATAACTACAATTAGTGCAAAATGTTTCATACTCTTCGATGGCTGAGCAACGAACTCAAACGCACATCGTGTTGAATGCGCTCTGATTTTACTGCTCTGTTGCATTTTCCAGCAACTTTCGAAAATTCTTTTAAAACGTGTTTCTAATACAAAATCTCAATGATGGATCCTTCTTCTCCCTCTTTATCTTCACCTCCTCACATTTAATAATTAATTCCATAATTAATACAAAATCCTGATAAGTAATATTTATCAATTTTTAAATATTATAAGCATTTATCTTATTTAAATATTTCATTTTTAATTTTACATACTTTTTATGATTTTAATAATTGTAAAATACATATATACTTTTATAAAATTTCCTAAATATGTTAATATTTCTTAATTTTTCCATCAAAACAAAATCCAAACATATTTCAATATACAAAAATGTTAAAAATAAATATTTCATAAAATTACTTTTGTCACAGATCAGATTCTTGCACACATACCGCAATATTTCAAGAAGATATTGATTTATAGATTATCGATCGATTATTCGATTTTCTTGTCTTTCTCAAATTCACCTAATTCATATTCAACGTACATATAGATACGTCGTACTTCCGTATTATTTGCATTCTCCTATAAGGGGAATCACCCTCTACAATTTCAATAAGTACTTCTATTTATATAACCACCTAATAATATATGTCCCATTATATCTAGATAAATGATTAGATCATTGAATCATGTTCCATTCACGGCAAACGTATTTATACGGATACATGTCCGTAAAAATAAACAAAAAATAAAAGAAAACAAAAAATTTAATATTTTTTATTATACCCCTTTACAAAGAAATAAATTCTAGTCGATAACGAATAGAATTATATATATCGAATATAATATATTATATATAATGTAGTGCAGATTGAAAATAAGATCTTCACATATTATGCTTGCTATGCTTTTATGAAAAAAAAAAGAACCTGATATTCTTATCAACAAATTTTAGTACTTTTTTTAAATATTTATCTAAATTTTAAAAGAATACAAAATCTAATTTAAAAAAAAAAACAGATGTTTAATAGTTCGTTTTACGTTTCACCGCCGCAAGATGTCACTGGGCGCATGCAGTTTTTAAAAAACAAAACAAAACAAAAAATATTCTCTCCCTCAATAAATTCGGTAATCATATCTAACATAGATTATATTCCAACATATACATCTTCAATTACACACACGATATAAATACAAAATTTGATATAAATGTAAACAAATTTAATAAAAACATTAATTAAGGAATTTCGTTGCGTTGACAATATAACGTATCATACTAAAAAGGTATCTGTTGTATCGTTAAATAGAAACAGAGTTGCGGTTAGAAACCGGCAGAAACTTACCTCGATTTTTTGTGTCGATTTCTGCAAAAAGAAGAATAAGGAGATGAAAAATATGATGAAGAGAAAGATGATAGATCAATCGAAGTTTTCCTCCAAGTAGTTGACACTTTCGAAACCGTAATGTTTGCCCTCTTTATCTTCTTTGTTTTTTGTTCTGTTTGATCTTTTCCTCGTCACCGTAATCACTTTTACAAATTAATTTGTAACTGTTGAATATTTTCTTTCGTTCCTTCTGTGGTTGTTCTTCGATTCCTTTTTTTTCACGAAAATTCACCTACACGTTTTTTTTGTTACTTGCAATTGTTGCTCTTCACACTTTGTCATCGTTTAATATAAAATGAAATTGTAATTATATAAACAAACGAATCGGAAATAATAAACTTTCCCTTTCGACTAACCGATAATGATTAATTGATTGAATGACAGATCGATCGATCAAGAATTAGTTTGTTCGTCGCGAAAAGCTGGATTCGAACTGTTTGACGCACCGTTCGAGACTCCCGCTACGAAGATCGTGCGTGCTTACGTCGTTCAACTTCGACCATTTACGACAGCCTTCGGCTCTAACTTCGGCTATTTCCGCCGACCGACCGGTCCAATGTGCTACGAAGAATCGAATTCGATCTACCGCGTATTTTGAAATATCGATCTTTCCATCTATAATTCTTTCTCGATTTTTTTTTTTTTTGTATTTCGTTAAGATAAATAAAGTTTCTCTTTTATTTATTTTTTATAACCGCTATATCTAATCGTCAATAATCCAAGTTTCAAAAGATTTCTAATTTTATTGTGTCGGAATGTTACATTCAAAATTTAGATTTATTAATGTATAAAAGTATATTTTGATACTTGTTATAGACGTATATACACTTTTATAATATAAGTATTGTATTGTTGAGAATAAAATTATTTATAAAAATATCATTACAATGTAATAATTGTTTTCTATAGGCATTATTATTTAATTTTTTTTATTAAAGTACTACATTATAATAATATTTATAAATATAATAAATTATTTATTTAATTAATAATATAAATTGTTTGTTTTTTATAAATATATCATTAAATAATATAATAATATATAAATAGTAATATATTATACACCTAAAATACATATAATAATAATATATATATATTACTAGTATATTGTAGTACTAACAAAAGAAAAAGAATTCGATTATTTATCTAATATTAAAACAATTCGGAAGAATCGATCGGTAAATTGTAATTCTTCTACACATTATACCAATGCATCAAACGGATACAATGAACACTGCAACGTTTATACAATTTGATACTTCCTTCCTAGCTTTCATGAGTCTGTATTGATATGAGAAAGTATATATCTTCAGATCAGATATACATTACGTATATAAATCCTTATTCACATTATCGTATAATTATTCTTTCTAAAAAAAAAAATATAACGAAAAAAGTTAAACAGGGGAAAAAAGAAGGGAAAAAATAAATTTACAAGTTAGAAGTAAATGATTGGATTATACGTAAGAAGTAAAAGTGTCGCCATTGAAAAACCATATCGTGTCCGAAGGTAGGCAACTCCTCTCACTCGTGTGTAAACGTTTAACAAGATCTTTTGAAATCATGAAGGACGAAATTAATAATATGCGCATTTAGTAATTGTTCCAATAAAACAATCGAAAATTGATTCGATACACCTGCTGGGTTAGCTAATAAATAATGGCGAAATATTTGTAATATTTTATATCTAACTGTATATAAAAATCATACTAGTATTTTTTACTAAAATTTCGGACATATTGGCTAACTCAAGAATGTATAGTATAATTTGTCTTTGTCTTTATTATTCTCCTTTTTACAGATTTGAGAGATCCATTCCCCTTACGATCGTTTAACAGGTCTCACCATCCATCTGCATTATTATCCTATTTATATTAGTTGAACATAATTTTATAAACAAAGAATTATAATACACAAATATATATAATATAAACATATTATACTTAATTTAACTAACACCACAATAGAATTCTTAGAGTACAGTTTGAGTCATAGGTTGCAATAGTATAGTATAATATATTAGGTTAGCCAGTAAATAATGCCGACATTAAACATTAAATATATAAACATTACATATTAATCAATCTAAGCAAAAAAGATCCTTTCAATATTTAAATTCTCACATAGGTAATTGAAAATTCTACTTTTTATAATCAAGAAAGGGGAAAGAAAACTATTTGTTAAAAGGATAAAAGGATTTAGAAAAGAAACGAGGAAAGGAAAACAGGATAGATAACTTTTCTTTACCTGAGCAGGTATACCTCAGGTAAAATTCTTGGAAGTGAATCGTAAAAATTCGTCAAAAAGAGAATACACATAATCATGAGCGGTGAAAGAAACTTCTACATCCTTAGGAGAATAATAGGAAGAAACATTTTTTACATTATAAATATCCTTGAAAAAGGATCTTCTTTAGTATCTCGTTTGACTCTTTAAAACGATATTCTTTCTTTCTTTCACAACAAAATTTGACTTCGATAAAAGACCTTTCTCAAATATTATTTTATTCTCTATTATATTATTATGATTTAAGCTTATGATTATTAAAGTTCATATTTAATATAATGAGAATCAAGTTGAAATTCTTGCACATCAAGAAGAAATTACATAGCTTCGAGCTAACAATCATGTTAAACATAATTCTCTTGTTCGTAGTAAATGGAAAACGAGCGTACTTGCGTTCCAATTTATTTTTATTCTAAAAGCTTAGCGGCAAATTCGGGTCAAAGAGAATAACGTCGTGATGTTCGGTTGGAGATCGAGATACACCGACTAGAACTGTAATCTTAGCGTTATTATTCAATAAACCTTGGCTGAGACCTTCGTGGTAGATCGTCGGTAAATCTCATCTGAAAAGAAAGGGAGAAAGAAAGAGGAAAAAAGAAAGAGGTAGATAGACGTAGAAAGAGATAGATAAAGATAGAAAGAGATAGATAAAGATGGAAAGAGATGAAAGTTTAACAGGCTAACAAGCATATGCAACCCCCGTTTCGATTCTTCCTCAAACGATCAAACTCTTAACTAAAAAACTTCCTCCCAATTTCGATACGAAACTTCATTTTGGAAAATAACTTTATACTTTTGTGAAAGGTCTTGGAAAATTATTAATTCCTCTGCGCTGGTTTTACTTTTAATTGCTTTCTAAGTCAAACGCAAAACTAAGAAATCCAGACTATCTGATGACTTATTCATGAAATTATTTATTTATTAATTAATAATCATTGAAAGACAATCTAGATTTAAGTATTACACTTATTATGATGTCCTAAAAGACTTTGAACCATCGTAATGGTGGCAATGATTTTGTCAAGGCTTTTGTAAGATTCTACTCGTTGATGCGTGTTGATGTTATCGATAATAGTAATAATGAGAGTAAGGCAAAGTGCGGGCTCTTGACAACGAAGGTTGATCCTTGGAAATGTAGTTCAAAGACTCTTTACCCTCTGACAAATGGATCTAATAGTTGAAACAAATGCATCATTGTTTAATTATATTTCTAAAAAAGTTATAAGGACAGAAATTATATTATAATTACATTGTAATCTAACTATATATCAATTTCTTCTTGATTAACCATACAACCCGAAAATTATAATAAATTTTTAAAATAATTATTAACCAACGTGTTCTTTGCCAACATTCAAGTTAATCCATATTTCCAAGTAATTATATACGATAATATTGAAACCTTGATGAAGTAAAAAAACATTAATCATTTAAGTGAAAGTTGCATTTAGATCTATAATAATATATACAACTACAGTCATTCTAATACTTATAATTTTTATAATCGTTCTATCTTAAAATTATTAATAATAATAACGACAAAGCAACAATAAATAGATAAACAAATAAATAATAAAAGTAAAATATAAATATTTTAAAAGTATAATTTATAGTATAATAAAAGTTTAATTTTCTGATTCTACTTCAAACGAGAGAGATTAGACATTGGAATCTTTATAATTCGCGTTAATGTCCTAAGTTTGTAGTCAGTCTTTTTTTTTTGCAAACGAAGAAATAAAAATGTTAAAAGAGGGGTCGGAGTGCAACGGATGCTGACGTAATTCGTTGAGATACGGTAGAAATTTAGTCGCACGCGTTACATAGCCAGTAGCCACATACCAAGCGTAAATATATTCCGTTTAAGGTTGATGGCTAGATTGTTCGTAGTTGGTGGTTAGTCTCGGGATCTCATATCAGAGCAGTTAATGCGAGTTACTCGTCGAGACCGAGACTCAACCACGGACGAAGTCGAGTCGTAGTAATCGTGCGCGTCTACCGGCACCGCTTCACTGTGATTACTAATCTAACGCCCCCGCATTCTGTGTTCTTTGACTATATATATATAAGTACATAGTCGATGATGACGATAAAATAAAATATATATGAGATGTATTAAAGGATCTCACGTTTATTTAGCTGGATGTTGTAGATTTTTTTCTAGACGTCCTAAAAAAAGATAAGAAATTTGTAAAGGAGTTATTATACACGTATGCATACAAAGTTATTTGATGAGTCAGTATTTTTAAAAATTATTGTTCAATATTTATAATAAAAGACCAGTATGTAATGTAAGTGCTCATGTTAGTATTACACCGACTAATACAAAAACTATCAGTATTTATAATAAAATATCAAGATGTACCCTGTATCAATATGTATCCCTGACGCAACCTTATTCCTATTATATATATTAACAAATTATTATTTATATTTAATAAAATATTTATATATATATAAATGCTGAAATTAAGCAAAAATTTATAATTATTATATATTAAATTACGCATTATATCCTATATATGTTAATACGATAAATTCGCAAACAGAAGAAACTAATCCTCATTAGGTAAAATTATCGGTTACCTCACAGAATATTTAAATATTTAATCTAATAATGCAGAAGACATTAAAACAAAAGCTACAAAGTAATGTACTATTATGTAATATTAGAATAAAAGGACCCATTTAAGGGTAAAATCACATACGGAGCGGGTGAGTAGAATAATAGTCGCGTAAAAGCAAGACGCTGTCTTCAATAAGAATAAACGTTAGTAGAGGGATTTCGTTGAGCAGGAGCTCGGTGTTCCCAGTCGGCTTAAGCTCGCGCAAGCTCAAGCTAAGGGGAAAAAGGAGAGCGCTTGCGCGTACCTACTCGACCTAACCTTGATTAGCGTCGACAGGAGGAGCGGTTGGCTATGCGCCTCGGAAACGCAAAAAGTCGATTCCCGTGGGTGGTCGTCGCGTTTCGGCATCGCGACGACGAGGAACAACTAGTAGTAGGCAACCGTAGACGAGCGCAGTTACAACTCGTTCGTTCGTTCGTTGGACTATGGAAGGAAGTGCTAGTAGTACAACTACTGGTACTGCTGCTATTGCTACTATTGCTAGTACTACTACTGCCTCTGCTGATGCTGCTATGTCGTCGAAAGGGCGCTCAAACGAGGCCTGAACAACGAGGATGCAGTTTAGATCCATAAACTCGGTCAACCGGATCCAGATCCAAACTGATCGACCGACCAAAACCACCCTCCTCACTTACCGTCATCGTCTGTATCGTCATCGTCGCCGCCGTTATCGTTATCATCACCGTAACGCCTATCCTCCTTCATCTTCCTCTACATCTTCATCGTCATCTCACGAACGCGAAACTCCAACGAACCTGATCCTAACATGCTGGCGGAGATGGTTCGTCTCTCTTACCAACATCGAGCATTCTACTGCTACATGATTCTCAGCGTGTGGATCTTCCTGCTAGTTGCAGGTAATCCTCTCTTCTTTTTTTCTTTCTCTTACTCTATCTTTTTATCTTTCTTCAAGCATGCTTACGTATGCTCTTCTTATTCTGTTTCTACTCTTTCTACCCCTACTACACCAACCTCCCACTCACTCTCCTTCTATTCCTCTTCCTCTTCATCCTTCTTTTCTTCCTTCCTCCCTTCTTCCTTCACCTACAACAAATGTACCTTTTAAAAAGGCTAATTTCTGAACACTTGTTATGTCAGACTCTTTTCACGGTCTGAGATAAAATGTAGGTTACGAATCAACTGTTTACGTAGGAACAACAATGAAAACATTAAATAACTTTATCAATCGTATATATCTATGTTATTTTATCGAAAACAATTTAAACCTTTGAAACGAATAGAGCTCTTAAAATAATTCTTGTATACCTATTTATTTCCCTTTCTTTCTCACGGTGTTCTTCTGTTATTCAAAATCCGTGTTTCGATCGATTTCACTGCTCGTTGCTTTACTCGGTCGTTGCTCGTTCAAAAATTTACATTTCTTTGATCCTACAAACATATAAATTAATTAATAACAATTCTATGATTTTGTTTATGCATGTAATTATGTTTAACAATTGTTTTATGGATAACCTTAAGAAATAATATACGATAGATAAAGAATTTCTACAAAGTATTATTTTACAAACGTACAAATTACAATTTTAAAGTTTATTAATGCAATTATATTCAACCATTTTTTTTAAAAAAGAAAATATACTATAAAAATAATACGCGATGTAGAATGAATTTCTATGGAATATTACTCTACAGCATACAAAATAATTTATACAAATTTTATAATATTTCAATACATGTAATATTAAACTTTTTTTTTCGGAAAGTAACTTTATAAAAATATTCGATGTATAAAAAGAATTTCTGTACGAAATATCGTTGATAATAGTTGACCTTAGGTCTTTTTATATAAAACGTCAATCTTTTTATAATTAGCAATGTTCCTAACAAACGGTAAGAAGATGCAGGTCAGTGGTTCCTACATATTCAAATACGAGAATCCTTATTTTGAATCTCTTATTTTATCTACTTTCAATCGATATTTATTCATATATATTATTAATATTAATTTAATGTTATAATTATACAGTTTTTTCTTTATACTTACAATTCACGTATCTTCAAGTTCGTTGTTTCGAAACGAAAAAGATCCCGGGTAAAGAAGATCAATGATTAATAACTACGTGTATATAGACAAATATATATTAAATAACTTACGTTAATAAATAACGTTGAAATTTTACATGAAATTAATAATATATTTATATTAATTATGAAAAATACTAGTAGAATTTTTATTCGATCTTTATTTATCGATAAATATCTAATACTATATATTGTTTTGGTAGGTACAAAACAAACGTTGTCGTTTATCAGGAAATTCAAAGTCTCGATTAACTTGCCATAAAGTCAATGAACTGTTTAAATAATCGAACGTAGAATAAAAAATAATTTAGATGAAGGATTATTTTCGTCGATAAAAATAATAACATATTATTTTTAATATTACCATTAATATATCGTTAAATATTTGACGATTGTTTCTTTCATAATACTACATACAGTTTTATCCTAACATTTAAAAGATCAACGTAGTTTACTGTCCAATTCTAAAATTTTCAATAATGACTTTTGAGTTTCATATTATAGATATATAAGAAATAATACATTTTATAAAAATAATCCATCAATAAATCAATACACAACAAAAATAATTAAAAAACTAAAAAAATCTTTCGTTTAATATTTCAACAGGAATGTATAAATATATCGGAGTCGATGAGAGGATTTCAAGGCAATCTAAAACGTTAAGCAATGATATATCCATAAGAGAATACCCGCGTAACTTGAAATCAGATATTAAAACGAAGAAGATATTTCGATTTTGTAATTCCCCTAATGAAATTAAAACAGATGCCGAAGGTAATTAAATAATTTATAATCTAAATAATGAATAAAATAATAAACAAATAAATTAGGTAGTAATATATATGTTGTGCATATGTAATATACATAATTTTGTTATTGTTTTCTCTTTGATAATTAGGAAAAATAGATGGTTTAACATTAAATGGTATAGTGATAATTACTCGTCATGGAGATCGAGGACCTTTGGCTCATATAAGAAATATAAGTACAGTTAATTGCGGTGGTGACTTTGGTGCACTTACAGAATTAGGAAACGTTTATCAAAATTATCTAGCTTTTCTACAAAACGTCTCAAGTTATTCCAGAACGGCATGGGCACAATTTTTAGGACCATTCCATGGATTCCCAATGATTCCCAATAATCCAAAAGATTGTAAGATCGCTCAACTTACGACGGTCGGTATTGGACAATTGTTAAAAACCGGGATCATATTGAGAAATGCGTATTACCATAAGCTTAATTTAGGAAACGGTACTATATCTAGCAAGGATGTCGTTGTTTATAGTACTAGATATAGAAGAACAGTACAGAGTGCTGTTGCATTGTTATATGCATTATTAGAAAATGATACTTTTCAAAATTTGGCTAAAATCACGTTACAGGAAAGTCAAAGTTATTTATTTTGTTACGTCGATTGTGTCTGTCCAGCTGCTGATGTCTATTTAAAAACTTACTCAAAGGTAAATTCTTTGTTTTATCTTTCTTAGTATCATTTTTATATATTGTTGTATGTCAAATATTATTACATAATTTTATAATAATAAAAAACAATATACATATATCAAGTGTAGCATTTAATTCGATGCCTTGATATTAAATTCATTGCATCAAAATCATCATCTTTTTTCATCAAGGAATTCGACAATTACTTGTAAGATAAACCAAAGTCATAAAAAATAATGAAGACTATTTCAAAGAATAACAGATATATGATTACTTTATAAATAAGTACGAAATTTATTTAAAAGGCATCAAATTAATTGCTACACTTAATATATGTACAACAAATATCTAGCATGTAAATACTGTGTGAAATATATTATTATATAATGTATATAATATTATATGACATATAATAGTATATACATTATAATAACAAAATATATGTAAATATATATGTATATGATGCATGCATAAACATAAGACGCAGATATCAGACGTTTTCTAATATTAAAAATTGTATTCTTCTAGGAAGTATCAGATCATTTGAAATCTCATCCAGCAGTAACTGATCTGATAAAACAAGTATCTAACACGGTTTTCGAAATGCCAGATGAAAATCAATCCCCCAATCCAAACATTTTGAGAGACGCTCTGTTAACATACGTTTGTCACGGTGCCTCCCTACCATGTGTAGATTTTGAAACGCAACGAATGTGCGTTAAAACTGAACATGTAACCGGTCTTTTTGCATATACTGAATGGGAAACTAAACAAATTGCTAAAAGTAATAATAGAAAAAAGATTGGTTTACTCAGAGGATATGGACTACTTCGTAGTATAGTAACTTACATGCTTCGTATTATATCAGAAGCTAAACCAAAAATAGTTTTGTACTCTGCTCATGACAAAACATTAGAATATCTTGCTACTGCATTAGGCATAATATCCGATAGAATGTATCTACCACAGTATGCTTCTCGTTTCATTATCGAAGTATATAAAATAAATTCGAAAAATGAGAATCACGTTGCCAGTGATTTTTACTTCCGCGTATTAATAAACGGTAAAGATTTGACACAAGAGATACCATTTTGTAGAAATGCCAATTTTTATAGCGCTACATATGTTGAACCCGATGACATCACAAAAACAAGAAAAGATTCTAAGCTTTGTCCGATCGAGACGATTATAAGACACTTACATGACGATTATTTTGTACCTTTTAATACCACTAATTTTAAAGATGCCTGCTCTAATACTAAATACGTATAATATTTTTCAATTAAAATATAAAAATCGATAAAACGCAATTACTTTAAATTTCCTTTAAAAATATCATTTTAATTGATATTAATATTATATTTAATTTTTTGTTAACAAAATATTGAAGAAAGTTATTTTCTTCTATACAAATTGAAAAATCACTTTAATTTTTTGTATATTTCTTTTTTTATTGTTATTGTTATTGTTGTTGTTGTTGTTGCTGTTATTGTTGCTGTTTTGAATTTTTGTAAACATTTTTGAATATGTTTGTGTATACCTGTAAATAATCAATGAAATACTTGAAAAGAGCAATCAAGAGACAATGACTGTAGATAATTTACTTTTTAATATAAACCATCGATATTATACATAAATATCGAAAAGAAAGTATTAGATAATATTCTAATAAGACTTAAAACACATATTATTGCAATTGCGAGATATAATTTTCATTGAAATAAAAAATAAAGAAAAAAAAGAAGAAAAATTAAGTACCAACACAATCATTTGTTCGTAAGTTCATGCAATGTCCAAGCACATAGAATATATAATAAAAAAAAACGAAAGCGGATATAAAATGTTTTACATAGATAACATAACTCACACGTAAATATATTATAATAAACAAAGAAAAGCCTTAAATGCTTAGAATTTATATATACTCAATAAATCTTGACACTGTAGAATTAGATATTTAAGATAATTAATGTGATCTTACAGGTCATTAGCATATATATTTTATCACGTCCTATTGTATATATGTAAATGATATATCTAACAATTCTATATAGTTCTATGATACCGAGAAAAAAAGAAAACAAAAATACACATTTTTACGTGTATAATTATTTATATTATTTGAAAAAGAATGCGCAATTATTTATTACCAAATTGTAAGTATAGTCATTTATATATACACATATACATAGTATTATGTCTACAATTAGTGATAATAATAAATTGTTAAAGGTACATTGTTTTCATTTGTAAAAATATTTATATTTAAACAAACAAACAAAAGGCACCTGTAGTACGTATCGAAAAAATTGTGAGTATATATTGTTATATAAATTGATCATATACTTTATATTAAAGACACACAAGATTATAATGATGATTTGTTATACTTCGATGGACCAGAACATTTCTGTAATAAATTTTTGCGACGTGCTTATGTGTGACATACATAAATACCGTGAAAAATAAACATACATTTATACACACACATACCTGTGCGGAACTTAATATATTTCAAAAAAAAAAGTTTAAAATCTTTTAAAAATATATAAATATTTATAATTATTTATAATTATTAAATATATAAATATCCAAAAATAAGGTATTAAAGGTTTATCAATTTTTTATAGAATAACTTGGTGATATGCATATGCATACATATATAATACATTTTTTACAAAAAACATTTTAAGAGGAAAACAAAACGAAATTAAGAAAATTACTCGTATATATTTCAAATCATAAGTATATTTTTTTCTATTCCTTTTTTATTTTATTCTTTTTAAATGGAGAGAAAAGAGAATATTATTCGAAGAGAAAAACAAATAACACAATATGTGGCGCAATATCGTTTATTAGCAAAAATAAGAATTATTTGAAACATAGTTTAAAACTTTTATCAAGATGCGAAAACCTCTATCGAAATACTATAAAATTTATATATTTATATATATAATATATAAAGATATTATTGTATCCAAGAAGGAAGTTAGAGAGGATTATCTTACCAATACACAAATTATTCTACGAGATAAAACTATTGAATAATTCGAGCTCCGGTTGTCTAGACTTGGACTCGAACCCAGGACCTTCCGCTTCCCGAGCGAGCGCTCTACTATCTGAGCTATGAAGACACTATATTATTGTATCTTTTTGTTATTAATGGTCCTATATAAAATTCCCATATGTGTCAAATTATATAAAAACTTCTTTATTCACAATATAAAAATCTTCATAAGAGAAAGAGAAAGAGAAAGAGAGAAATATAGTGATAAAGAGATAGAGATAGAGTTCATAAATAAATAGTAATCGTGTTATTACAATATACTATAAGCCACAAGTTTGCACTTTCAGGAGGCTTGCAGTGTGTGAGCCTACAAACAAGAATTATCCTATAAAATTATATAGCTTTGGTAAAATGACACGATTAGATGAGCACAAAAGGCAGAGAGCGAAAGTTCTCACACAAAAAAAAAAATAAAAAAAAAATAAAAAAAACAGAGAGTTATGGCTTTCTTTCTTCTTTTCTATCTTTCTATTTTCGTCGAAGTAAAAATCTTGAACCGTTCTTAAAACAATACGTCTCTCAATAATATATTCATACGTTAAAAGTTATATACAGTCTCTTTCAAACATGTCACTCGTGTAAAAATGTAAGAAATATTTACTTACAATTAGAGAAAAAGAGAATAAGAGAGACAGATAGTGAAATTCCTTATCAAAAACTTTCTGAATTGCGACATCTATAACATGAAGTATTATATAATGAAATAACAAAATGTACATGTCGTCAACGTATGTATGTATATAAAGAAATTCACGCTATCGAGTAAAAATATCAATCTTATTATAATAATCCTAATCAATCTGGAGCGTGCTTAAAAGACATTCTTAAGATGATATAATTAATTTTCAAAGATCACAGTCACGATACTTTATATCGCGCGCGAGTGTGTATACGTGTGTGTATGCTATAGATAGAAAACACAATGTATCTGTCGCAAATCCTCTCAATACACATTAAAAATATATAATACTATTCGGATGACACATCATCAACAGCTCTCGACTCTCCCATAGCTAATCCAAGTGTTTGTCGAATATTTTTCAATCGTTGATAATATTGTTCTAGGCTATTACTATTAACACCGGAGTCTTTCCTAAAAAAAAAAAGAGACAAAAAAGAGTGTCCACGAAAAATATGGAATAATTAATAATAATCAATAATGATAATAAACATACTCGAATATTGATTTCTCCCTGATGGGTGGTGAATGATTTAATGTTGGTAATCGAATAGAAGGTACAAATGGTTGATTTTGATTTCCTAAGAGCACGTTAGCACCTATACGTCTACCCGTACGCCATCGTATAATCATCCACTTCATTCGATGTATACTAATTATTACCAAAGCAACACTTCTAAAACGTAATATTCCCCTTTTACATTGATCCCTTTTGGTATACGATCTTTCTTCCTTCGTTAACTGAGCAAGTATGGCAACTGTATTTTTCTCGGAAATTTCGTAGCTTCCAATAACGCAAAGCAAATAACGTTTTTGATATTTCAGTGATCTCCATTTGCTTATGGCTCGAAGATATTTACCATAAATGTGCTTCGCCTGTAGAATACGTCATTATGTAAATATGAATAATTGTATGAAGAGGAGAAATAGAAAGTATGAATGTATAATTATAATAATAACTACCTTATCAACAATTTCCAATTGTTCTGTATTCGCAGGCAGAGAATGTTTATTTAGTTGCAACTGCGTTTGTAGATCTCTTATCTGCTCCTTGAGTTGTTCCTTATCGTGTTTAGCTTCGACCAATTTAAACTGAAGTAAATCCTTCTCGTTGGAATATTTTTCATTTAATTCCTACAAATAATAAAATACAGATGAAAAAAAAAATAAATAAAAATTAAAAAATTAAAGAATATTAAAAGATCGAGTTAATTAACCTTCTGTAATCCAATTTTTTCCTATCTACAAAAATATTATGCAATGTGAAATTTATTGTATTATTCGTATTAAAGATAATTATACTATAATAATTGCTACTAATATATTTTATAAATATATAAAACAAATTTATTCATTATTAAGAGGGAAAGAAAAAAGATATTTACCTTAATCTTGTTCATATATTTAGTAGGATCATTATTTTCTTTCGTAGATTTAGTATCTAATTCCTTTGTAAGATCTAAAATTTTTTTAACGCAATTTTTATACTTTTGGTTCAATTCAAAAACGAGCTCTTTCTGTTTCCTTTCTTCGTCCTTGGATAAACTTAATTTTTCTGTTAATTCAACTTCCTTAGTCTTGAAACTTTCTAACTTCTGACGCAATTTTGATTCGCGTTCTCCAGATTCCAATTTCAATTGTTTCATATCAGCTTCTAAATCTATTATAACTTCTCTAGTATGTTCAAGTTCTCTTCTTAATCCTTTGAGCTCGTGATGTTCATTAGTTCTTTGATCTTGCCTTTTTGCTTCAGCATTTGACATTGTTTTAATTCTCTTCTGTAACCATTCGCATTCATCCTCTTTCGCTTTTAATTCTTCCTTAGTTCTTCTTATATCTATTTCTAGTTGCTCTTTAATACCATCTGCTAGTACCAAACTACTCACTAAACTTTCCTTCTCTTCAACGACCACTTCCAATTGTTTTTCATAACGATTCCTTTCAGTTTCAATTTTTTTCAAAGAATCACGTAATTCAACATTTTTTCTTTGCTCCTTTTCATACTCCTCGACCAATTCGATATATTTCTTTTGCTCGGTTTGTAATAGATCTACCAAACCAGGTAATTGTTCAGTCTTTTGGGACTCTATATGTTCTCTCATAGAACTCAATTGTATTTCTAAATTTTTATGTTCTTGACGCATTGATGATATCTCATTACGCAATTTTTCTTCGATAACCAGCGATGACTTTAACTTTTCTCGGAGGGTCTACACACATCAAAAGAAATATATACTTAATTGAACAATTTAAATTAAATTTAATTTTAATTTAAATTGATATTTAATAAATTCTAAAATACATAAACATGAAATAAACAAATTTTTACAGGGAAATTGCATAAAATAAAAATACCTCGATAAGTTCGTTATCTTCAATATGAGCCATCTGCATAGTTTTCTCATTCTTTTCCATTTGTAATTTTAAAGTACGTACTAAATTTCTTTCACTTGATAGTTCTTTATCAAGTTCCGTTACTTTCTTTGACTCTTCTACCAAATCAGATCTGACAAACATTGAACTATTAATATTTCTTAATTAAAATATTATTAATAATATTTAAATTAATCTTTCTCACTTACTTGATTTGGAAGATTCTATTTTCATACTCTGCCACTTGACACTTAAGCATTTCTTTTTCAATTTCCAATTCATCTTTCAATTTCAATAATTCTTCATTAACTTTATCAGTATTTTTTAATCTTAATTTAAGATCTGTACATTTTCGTTCTAATACATCGTATTTGTTATCATCAGTTCTTTTTTTATAAGGAGAAGAACATTGAGAAACGGATTCTCTTTCCCTTCCTTGCAATACCATTTCTTCACGATCACTATCGATGGCACTCATAATTTGTTTATCTAAACGTGCTGATAAATTAAGTTCTCTTTGTACCATATCTTCAATATCAGTGTCATCCTGCGAACGGCCTACATTAAAAAAAAATAAAACTATATATAAGAATGCCAAAAAAGTGTGTTATCAATTATTTAAAAATAAATATAATTATTAGATATACAAAATAATATAAAAACTTACGTGCAGAAAATTCTCTTAAAACTTCAAGTTCTTTAGTCAACCTTTCAACTGTATCTCTCAATTCTGCATTAATTTTATGTTCTTCTTTGAGTTTTTTTCTTAACTCTACTATATTACCAGACTCCTTCATTTTACTTTGGATAGTTTCTAAAGCTCTATGTAAACTTCTACTGTCATCGCTCATTTGTCTTATGACCTTATCCTTCTCTTTTAAATATTCTTGAAGATGATGTATCTCCTGATCTTTGCAATCTGATGGAGAGGATGTACCTGAAAAACTACTACGTCTTGCCATTTCTTCTAGTCTTTTAATAATTTGATCTCTATTATTTAATCCATCCATTAAGCTTTGAAGTCCACTTTTACATTCCACAAGTTCTCGCTCACATTGATCATATTTTTTCTTATATTCATATAATTGCTTATTTTCATCTTCAATTTCAATGTTTCTAGTTCGGATAGTTTCTATAATGATTTCTTTTTCCGCTAAAATGTCTCGAAGAGATTGCAATTTGTGTGTTTTTTCTTGAATCAAGGAAACGTACTTTTGTATATTTTCTTCATTCTTATTTTGAATGGTATCCTTCAATTTAGAATTTTCGAAGTTCAATTCTATCATAATTTTTTCATTCATTTGTATTTTATCTTTCATATCCTGCAATTCATCTTTCTTTAACTTTAAAGTATTTTCTACTTGCAATAAATCTTTTCTTATTTTATTTTCAGATGCTTGCATCAATTCGTATTGATCCTTATAAAAATTCTTATCACGCGTTAACGTTTCACATGTTTCTTTTAACTCTAATTGCAATTCATCAAATTGTTTACGTAGAGTTAATAATTCACTCTCGCGTTTTTCCAACATCGTTGTTTTGTTATCCAGCTCTTCTTTTATCTCGTTTAATTCTTTTTCTAAATGTTGAATTTGTAATTGCATCGTCTCATTATCAAATTCTCGAGTATGTGTCGCAGTCGTTCTATAAGACTTGAAACTATCTTGTGAACTATCGTTGTTCATTTTTTTATTACTTGCATACAATACGTTGTTATCTAAAATTTCTTTTTCTATAGGACTACGCATTAATTTTTTAGATTCCATAAATGGCTGTTTGTTGGTTGTGTCAATTACGTTTGTAACGTTCGATAAAGATATTTTTGATCCTGTCTCGCTATGAGGTAAATCAATGTCAACAGACACATGTGGATTCTGATTGTGCGTACTTTGAGAATTTGAATCTAAGTCTAATAAAGGCACTTGCACACTTATTTTATTCATTTCTGGCGAAGGCATGATGGATGCATCCAATGCTTCTTTTAATGTTGGAAAAGCTGGTGAAACCTTGAAACTAGAAATATTATGAGGTAAATTATGTGCTAAACTATGACCACATCTAATGGCTTCAACATCTTCACACTCCGAATGAATAGAAAGTATGTCGCTTAAAGTACGAGCACTATTTTTTGGTTCTACTTGTTTAGCTAACTCTCTAAGCTGTACATCGTCCAATGCCATGGACGAATAGATTTCTATTTGTTTTTCCTTTTTAACCAACTGTTCCTTCAAATGATCTATTTCTTCATTTTTATCAGCTAGCATTGAATCTATTAATTGAGGTAACTCCATTTGAGCTTGTTCTTGAATACCAACTTTTGACTGAAATGAAATAAATTTTTATATTCCATAATAAATAAATATAATTAAAAATAATAAAAGAAAAAACACGATTTTTAATTTAAAATATTGTTATATTATAAATCAAATTACCTGTAGACTTTTCTTCTCCTCTTCTAAAACAGTTAAACGATCTTTTAATTTCTGAATCGTTATACTTTCTAATTGAACAACGTTTGCAATTTCTGCTTCTTTATCCAATAATAACTTATTAGATCTCTGCAGTTGTTCCTTCACATCATTCAACTAAGGAATAATCATTATATATAAAATTTCAGTATTTTTAATTCAAAATATAACAATTGTAAGCTTAAAGACTGATCGCTTTTTATTCCCTTTGTCGTAAACTTTATAGGATAGTTTTGTTCATAGTGTTTGTGTATGATTAACGATAAAAAAATAAAGGAACGTTCTGAGTTGGACAACTGTGACGATTCAAGCAAACGATCAAAGATAGTTTTTCTTTTGTCGAGAAAGTCTTATAGTTAAGAGAGTGTATATGAATGCAAATCGAATGTTTCCGAAATATGCATAATAACCACAAAAAAAACCAGAATGTCAAAAAGAGAATAAATAACATGCAGTCGATTTTAACCATTTGCACTGGTTGGTCACCATTGAATTACGACGTGCATACAACGTCATTGGCGATTCTGCAACTAAAGCATCACGACGTGCGTGGCACGTCTTTCCAGCACAAATCGTTAAGACTCTCAATTTAGATAAAGTGTTTACATAATTTTTATATAAAAATGATATTATTTAATACCTCTAATTCCTTATCAGAAATGACTTGTTCCAATGCTTGAATCTTCGTGTTAGCTTCATGTAATTCTAGTTCTAATTTTGATGTTGCTTGCCTTTGGGCAAACGGAGCACTTTGTTTCTGTTGTTCTAAACGACCACGCATTGCCTCCATTTGATACAATTGCTCAGATGTTGTTTGTTGTAATATTTCTTGCTCTGCTTGTAATTCCTCATTTTGATTTTTCAATGCTGATAATTCCATCTCCAAATCCTTGATTTTTTTAAAAGCAGCTTCCTCAACCCTAGCATGTTTCAAAATTTTCTCTTTAAGTGTAAGTATTTCGTCAAGAGGTAAAAGTGGTAGTGCTGTAGGATCATCTGGCGTAAGACATCTAGTAGCATCAATTTGTTCTCTGATAGAAACATCTTCGCTTGGCTGACTCTGACTAATGCTTAAGGTAGAATCAGAAATATGTAGGGATTCTAAATTTTTAATTCTTTTGTCCAATTGACATTGTAAATCTCGAAGTTCAATTTTCATTTGTTTTAAAGTAGAAGAATTAGCATCAAAGTGTTCAGAGCTTAACTTATGCTTCCTTAATTCTTCCTATAAAAACAAATATTATGTTAATTCAATATAAATACTTGCAAAAATAAATTTTTCATTTCATTACACCAATTTTATAAAAATGTAAACTTACTTGTAAATGAGTAATGTGTTCATTCATTTGTCTACTAGTTTCACCCATCTTGATGGAATCCAATTCTTGTACAAGGTCTTGTTGATTTTTTGTCTGAGCAGTAATTATTGCTTCCAATTGTGTAATTTGAAGTTGCAATGATTCCTCTTTTTCAATCTTTGCCTGCAATTGTTGTTCCAAATCATGAACAATATCTCTTAAAACCCAAATTTTATCAACCGCAGCTTTCAATTCGCTTTCGGTTTCAGACATTTTAGCTTCAGTATCGGACATTAAAGAAGACATTCCTCTTATCTGTGATTCAAGAGCTTCCACCTAAATAGTATATAAGTATAAATTTATTAAACATCCATAGTCTTTAAATATTAACAAATTTATATAGCAACGAATCGTTACAACATTGCAAAGAAGCATTTCCCAATATATAAAGCGAACAAAAATAATATTATAAGCAATAACATTTATAAATTTATGAAAATAATCATCTTATAGCAATCGTATCTTATAATTTTTATTATTTTATCTCACATTTACTGCAATTCATTCAAAACACATGCATAGAACCTTACTTATGTATATTAAATCGGTAAGAGAAATATATTTCAAAAAAGATTTAATTTAAATGAATAATATAATTACTGTAGAAGCTAAAAATGTATATTTTAATATTATCTGATTTAGAATAAGTACAGTAACACTCACTGTTTTGGCGATGTCGATTACTTGAAGCACAGGTATTTCTGTCGATGAATCGGGTGATAGTGAATTCTGCATTGTGCAACAAACAGAAAACCAAAACCAGAGTGCAGAAAAATCGGTGTTAATAAAATTAGTATTAATGCATATTGCAAGCAACCTCATCACCATAATATGGGTAATGAATTAGTTGTAGTAAAAAAAGCATCTAACTTTTATTATAATCTCGGTATAATTTTTTTTAAATAGAATATTACCAACCCAATTTTTGATTAGAATGTGTTTTTATCATTTAGCATACAAATTATGTTTATATATGAATTTGATGATATTAAAAGAACTTACTATATGTATATATATCTCTTTATTTGTACAAACAAATTATTCAAAATCATAATTACTGAATACTAATTATGAAGCATAACAATGAAAAAACAAAAGAAAAAAATAATTTTTAATAAAATATAATTTTTTAAATGATTATTTCTGAACGTAACAAACTTTGCATTGCAAATTTTATATTAACAATTATTTAAAAATTTGTGCAATAAATAAAATTAAATAATGTATTTAAAATACACGAACAAAAATTATGTGTCACATTAAAAATAAATTCATGCAATATTGATTTTTAATCAATTATCAGTGCTTTTTCTTATTTTTGGACATTATAAAAAAGCACTGAACTGTTAATTCAACTTGAATTAATAACCAAGAATGAAAATAATATTTTTAAAGAAATTTACCTCAGAAGTTATACGTTGATCTCTTTCTTTTTCACGTTCTCGTTCTTTCAATTGCTCTTGTAAATAATTTATTTGTTTGACAGACTCATCTCGTTCAGCTTCGCGTTCTGCTGCTTGCTCTTCCAAAAATGTTCGTGTTGCTTTTAATTGTTTGTCTGCTGCTTCAATCTAAACGATTATTTTGATTACAAATATTAATGAAAAAAAATATGTATATGCATATATACAAAATCTATTGAAAATATAGTAACTGCTTCATTAAAATGAAGAATAATCAATTTAAAATAAACGATATAGAATTGTATTATCTAATAAAAATGATTATCACATGTTATTATTTTTATAAGCTGTAACAGACTAATACATTAAATATATTTAAAAACAAAAATGTAAAGTACATACTCTACAAAGAAAACAAAAATATTTAATAATAATTAGTGTACCAACCATAATTTCATATATAATCGAGATCTTATTATTAATAAATTAATAAAAGGGACATTTCATGGAAGACATTCACTTATAAATTTCATGCAGTAAAAAGATAACATGCACATAAATATATTGCATTGAATACATTCAAAAAAATATTATATGAAACTGAATTGTTCTGAAAATTACCTTTTTCAATGTATTTTACCAAAATATAGAAATCTTTAAATTGATTTATTTTGCATGCATATAAAAAAGCTTGTAATTGAATATTAATATTTTATTTAATAAATTTGTATTTATATATCGTGTGGATAATAAATTAATATATTATTAAACATTTGTAGTAATGATTTCAATGAAGATTATTATATTGCTGCAGAAAATTAATCACATTTCTTTTATATATATGTATTTATGTATAAGATGCAAATAATTTACTATTACTTTGTAATAATATTAGTTGTTCTGTAATTTACCTTTCCACAGCAAACCCTGTGAATGTATGAAGGAGAAGTAGATTCTAAAGGCACCTGCTGGCAAGACAACGGAACGCCAATCAATTTTTTAGGAACTTTTCTTCGAAGCCATATGATTTATCTATCTCACGTCTATATTATTATGCAAATATATTCGCGATAAAGGTATCCGTAAAAAAGATATTGTTAATAATGAAATGTTATTCCTTGTAGTTTTTGTTGGAAAATAACTAATATAATTGGATTGAAATTCCCTGATTATTTCATGTCGTGCTAATGAATAATATAACTATAGACAAACGTGAAAACGTAATAATACTAAAAAAGCAAATTCATTTTAATTTATCATAAACACTGTATTTCAAATAAGCATGCTAAATTATAAAATTGATATTTTGTTTTTTTTTCTCCGTCCAAACAATTTTGTTTGCTTAACTCATTAAAAGAAGATGTTTTATACTCACAAATACAATGATTTCCTAAAGCTAATAAGATGCAACGTTGAAATAAAAAACTAATAAAAAAAAACTACCAATACAATAATGCACCATAAATTCCTTATACGTAGCATAACAAATATCTAAATAAAAATACATGCAATTGGTGTTATACAAACCTAAAAATCAAATAAAGTAACTTACCTGTTGTTGTAAATCTTCTTTTTCTTTTCTTGCATCTTCCATTAATTTGTCACTTTGTATACACAATTCTTCTATCAATTGCAATAAATATGAGCCCTCACCGCCGCCATTGGACAATACATGCCTTGCTGAAAAAGATAGTATTCATTTTATATTATTATTCACAAATAAATAAAGAAATAACATAACAAATTAATTCATAATAATCATTCATAATAAATAAATACAAGTTTCTGATACCTTTTTCTTGCAATTGTGAAAAATCTTGAAGAGTAATGTCATTTCTAGTTTCATCATGTTCGCCATAGCCTTCTGTAATAATTTCCTTTTTATTTTCAGCAATAATCAATTTCCTTTGAAGCTCGATAATATTCATTTTCAATTGTTCTGATTCTTCTTGGTAACTTAATAATAAACCTTCAGTATGATTTAATTTCATAGTCAATTCTTCAATAATATTTTTGTTCCATATATTGTTTGATGACATTTCTAATTTTTCATCAGGTGAAAATGGAATATTCAATATTTCTGCACTCTCTGTTTTTAATCTAAGTAAACTATTATTTAATTCAGATCGTAAATTTTCTATTATATCTTCGTTATGAACAAGTATACCCCGTAATGTCTCATTATCACTATTTATAATTGATATAATTTTATCTGATTGTGGAGCGAAATGAACCTTCTTAACTTTTGCTTCTGGAAGATTTGGATTAACTTCAGTTACAATTCTAAGCTTTTCTTCAGGTACTTTTGAATCATCAATTTCTGTACTTGAATTATCTTCTTCTACATGTAATGAAGGTATCTGTCTTTTTAAAACTTCATTGATAAGAGTATTATTAACTTCTTCTTCACAAACGGCAAAATATTTAATCAGTTCTCCAATTAAACTTTTAAGAGTTAAGCACATTTTGTATAGGTGATCCCTATTTTGAAAAAAATAGTAATAATAAAAATACTGTAAATAAATAATACAATTTTGTACACATATACATCCTCTATAAAAATATTATTATACCTTTCTTTAACTCCAATTTTCATGGAAACAACAGAATTGTCAACAACTTCAGGAATCTCTTGTCCTTTAATCTTATTAATCTCTTCTTTATGCTTTTCAATCAATTGAGCTAAATTGGAGGAATATTGTTCTTTTAAACGAAGCACCTCAGTAGCATGAATTTCTTTCAATTCTTGTATTTGTTGCTTAGCATTATTAGTTAATTTATCTCGTAATATTAATAATTCCGATGGCCAATTATCTTCTGTATCAGTTTCAACTGACAAAAGTGCCTGTACAATGATATTAAGTGCAACAATATATTTATAGTAATTATTCCAAGTAATTTCATTTTTAAACATGAATAAACATATGTATATATGAGGAAGCTATTTAATAATTGCAGGTGGCTTGAGGCTACCTGAATTTGTTCCTGAAGAGCGTTGACAATGTCAAGCCTAGCTAATGCCACCTGTTCTTCTAACTGATGATTGTAGGCAGCTTGCAACTTGGACAGTTCACCATTTTCCAACGTTCTTGTATCAAACTCTGTTTGACAACACTGCATGCCAAACATGCCATATGGTAATGTGTTAGTTAAACAAAAGACTTTGGTTTAGTTTTAATGTATGTATATCTGATTAACTTCATTATTATTATTATTATAGGTCGTATTAAAAATGAGAATTAAAGAAAAATCAGTCATAAATAAATATACTTAATAAAACATGCATATATATGTACAAATTGCAGACTGAAAAAATTATGAAGCCAATTGCTTTTTTTCATAACATATAATGACTGGCATATTGAACAAACATTTACATAATTAGTTTTTATTAATGACTATATAGAAATCATAATTTGCGTGCAATTACGGGCGTAACATTGCTTTAACACAACACAATACACCATCAAAATATTAAATGAAAGAACAAAAATAAAACAAAAAATAAAAAAATTCTATATATACATATTTATAAAAGAAAACATTAGTGTTACCTGTTCAATCGACTTTGCTGACAATGGAATACCAATATCTATTTTTACATCCTTCAATTGATTTTTATGTATTTCTTTTTGATCTTCTAATAATTTTTCATAATACAATTTAATATTTTGTATTTCTACATTTTTCTTATCCAATTGTTGCTTAAGCATTTTAATACTTGTTTCAGGTTCTGATTCTACATGAGACAAATCTTCATTAGAAATCGTATGTTTCGTTTCCTTAGGGACAACAGGTGTTCCACTTCTAGAATGATGTCGAGAGACATTTCCAACATTTAAACAATCTCCTGCACCTCCAAAATATACATCTTCTGTTAATTCTTCTATTTCACTATCATTGTCAGACATCTTTTTTGATTGCTGACTAAATACTTCCTCGGAATACTGTTTTTCCATTTGCAAACATTTCTGTTCAAAATATGTTCTTAATTCTTCCATTTCTTTAGCATGACGTATTTCTAATTCATTCTTCAATTCATTTAATCCAATATTTCCTTCTTTAACGTTAAGTAAAAGTGTCTGCATTGCTTTCAATTCCTTAGCAGAATCTGATTTAATCGCATTTATCTCGTGTTCGTGTTGTTCAATTAAATTGTTTATATTCTTTTGTAATTTATTCCTTTCTAATTGCAAATCGTCTAGCGACTTATGCAACACATTTATCTCTTCCCAATTTGCTTTCAATTTCCTATTTTCATCCAATAACGATTGCTTCTCTGACTCTAACTTATCACATAAAACGCAATACTGATGCAATTTATTGGATATCTCATCATAATTTGATTGCTTCTCTGACAAATGTTCTATTTCCTTAAACAAATTTTCATTTTCTTGGGTGAGATTTGTTATTTCTTTTTGCAAAGACTTCATCTTTTCGTCATTTTGCTGCTTGATATTATCTAAATTGCTAGTCTCACTAAACGAGTTTTGTGTATCATTTGTAAAATCGTTATAACTTTTATTCGATCCAAAATGTTTAGGTAAAGCTGCACAAAATTCTGATAATGGTAAAGATATATCAATGGTACTGTCATGCATCGCTAATGTATGATTTAATTTTTCCTCGACTTCTGCACACTGTGCCCAAGCTACTGCTAAACCACTTTTCAATTGTTTGCATTCATCTTCTGATTGTTTCATCTGTTTCACAATAGCATTTAGTTTTTCCATACAATCGATATTTTCAATATTCTTTTTTTCTAAGTTCTGTTTTAATTCTTTTATTTCATTCTCATATACCGCTATTTTCTGAAGCATTTCAACAGATTCATTTTTATCAATGACATTTACATTTTTACTATCACTATTTGTAATATTTTCAGGAGGTACATAATTCGTCAAATTAGATTCTCTCAATGATATTATTTCAGTTTCTAATTTGTCGCACATATTTTTAGTGTCCTTTAATTGTTTCTCATATGATTTATTAGTAAAAGTAGCTTGTTCCAATTCTTTTTTCATTTTATATCCGTCATTTTCTAATTCTTGTATTTTTTCAATTAATTTTTTCTCCAATTTTTCCTTTTCCTCGAGCTTATGCTTTGTTAATTGAAATTTAATAGTTACTTCGTCGAGAGTTTGATAAGTTGTTTCATTTAATTCACTCAACATACTAACGTTTATACCACTGAGTCGAGATAATGATTTCTCCAAATCGTATATTCTAGAACTCATGGTACGTTCGTGTACTTGGTTACTTTCAATAAGAGATTGAGCAGCCGTATATCTAGATGATAAGTCATCCAATTGAAATTTCAATTCATTATTTTCTTGTTTCAATGTAGCAGAATTTAATAATGCCTGTTCCAATGAACGTTCCATACTTTCTTTAGATTCTAATACACTAGTAGCAGCTACATATTTGGAAGTAATCTCATCTAATTGAATTTTATGCAATTCGATTTGTTCTTTCAATAATTCTTTCTCCTTTAAATTATTTAGTTCCTGCAAGCGACGTGAATTCTCCGCTTGTATTTGAAGTTCTTCGAATTTGGAATTAAATATATCAGCTGCAGCTTGAGCTCTATTTTGAGCCTCCGAACGATTTACTAATTCAAGTTTTAAAGTCTCAACAGTTTTCTTATAATGTGCCAACTGTGCTTGAAAAACAGATAATTCTTTGGCATGTCTACTTTCTAAATCTGGTAATTCTTTATTTAAACGATCAGCTAATAATTTATTTTCTTCTTTCAATGACTGTAAATGTTCTTCATATTTAAGACAAATATTTTTTAATTCGCTTTCATGTTTTGTTGTTAAATCCTAAAAACAAGTATTTAAAGAAATCGTATTATTTAAATAATTACATATGAATAAATTCAAAGATTATTTATATTTTAAAAGCAAACCTTTATCTCCTGCTGATGTCGAGCAGTATTGGTATTGGTTTCAGCTGTAAATTTCTCTAAAATATGCTGCATATCTTGTTTTATTTTATCAACACGTGCTTCGTATTGCTTTTGTTGTTCCAACATCTCTGCGATATTTAAATTTTTTTCAGCAGCACCAACGCGAATTTGTTCATTTAAATTGTTAATTTGTATCTTATAATCACTGATCTCAGCATTTCGCGTTTCCTTTTCCATTTCCAATGTCTGGACATGTTTATGAATTTGTACCAATTGAGAATTCAAGTTATTTATGACAGTTTTTTGATTGGTCAAAGTACTTTCTAACATATCAATCTAGGGTAAAATAAATATTCCTTATAGTATCAAAGAAAAATGATTAACAAAAAAAAAGAGACATTTAACTTACTTTTTCTTGCAAATTCATACTATGCATGCTTCTTGGACTGGATTCCCTTGCTGCATTCAGAGAATTAAGTTGATTTACAAGTGCATCTCTAGCGGACAATGCTTGTTCCAAAGAAGACGTCAAATCTTCTATTAGATTATCTCTTTGATTAATTGCTTTTTCAAATTCTTGTAACTATTGGATAAAAAGCAAACAAATGTGGTGATAAATAAAATATTCAATAATATATTAATTACATTGAATTTTTATAAATCTAAGAAATAAATTAAACTTACTTTAGTATGATATAAACATATAACATCTCTACTAGGAATACTGCTACTGCTATTGTGACTTTGCGAAGAATTTGGAGAAGACGTTTCTCCTCGTAAATGATCAATTTCTGCATTCAGTGCTGCAACAATGGCTTCTTTACCTTGTAATAGTTCTTCTAATTCAGCTACACGTCCTGCCATACCTTCTAAATCTCTATCAGCTTCTCCTTCACTCATACTAACACTACTTTGTGTAATATCTCTTGAAGACATAACTTCATTAGTCTAAAATAGATCGTATAGAAAAAATACATAATATTTGCAATAGATGAAGATAATAAGTACATATAAATGAAATAGAAGTATACAGAAGAGATACGTATTAAAGGCAAAATAAAAATACAAATGCTATCTTACAAATGATCCTCTTTGGTCCATTGATTTATCATTATGATAAGATTCTTCGTCAGACTGTTCATCTGTTTGAACATAATGCATTCCTTGTGTTTTATTTGATCGTGTTATTTTATATTTTTCCAACTAAAATAATTAAATTAAAAGAGATTACATATATAAGCCATGTCGTATATCGTTTATATCTACATTATAACTCTTATTATCATTATCATGCAGAAATATTATTGATTTTAAAAGCAAAGGTGAAAAACTAGAAAAAAGTAGGAAACATTTTCAATCTATTACTCAGATTTCTTTTAATAGACACAATGTTTTCTATCAAACAACAAAAGATAATATATTCATAGAACAATGAAATAGGTTGTCTTAGCCAAATCAAGTAAGAATAAATAAATGATGGATTTGTATAAACATACCAAATCTCTGCCAGCCTCCAATGAACGTTTTCTACGCTCATCTTCTTCCGACATAGTGCTCATTTAATTAAAAATATTATCTATTAACGGTTAACAATCTTAAATATTTAATAACTTGAATTGTTACTTATTAAGTAACAATCTGTCACTATTAAATTAACTACATTTCAAATAGCATTTGCTTTGTCACACTACGCTCGTCGAGTTAAATCCGTTAGATTTTTCTATACGTTGCTTATTTTACGAAAATTACAAACTCCCTGGCGTCCAATAAAATCACGAAGTTATTCAATCTAGATGCGCTGTCCTCCTCTCTTTCCGGTGATATTAAAAAATTATATTGGTAGAAAAAATATAACTTTAAAGAATTATTTTCTTTAAATTATAAAGTAATTCCCCCATTGCACTATTCAATAAACGTATTAATAAAATAACGTCTTAATAACGAGTATATTAAATAATTTGATTAATGGAAAAGAGAAAAATGACGCTCCTTACGTAAACGTTGCTTGCGAATGAAGCCTAACGTCCTCTGCTTTCAAACTTCACGTGTTCCATTCCCCTCCTTCTCACTTTTTCCTTCTCTTTTCATTTCACCAATTGAACTATGCTTTCATTTATTATTTCTCCTTGTCTAACGCATTACAAACCGTGCGCGATGAATTTGAACTTGTGGTTTAAAGTAACAGAAGAAAAACGGGACAAGGTGGGCTAAGAAGACGACGAACAAAGAACAGTTTATATCTAATTTTATCCGTAATCATTTATTTGTTATATCAGATAATTTGTTTTGCATAGTTTACTACACAAAGTGAAAAATACTTTATTTTTTAAATAACTTGAAAACGCATTAATATTAAAAATAAAAACATACAATGGATTCTACTGATATATTACACATTGAAATTTTACAAAAATCTGAAAGGTAAGATCTATTTTTTAATTGCGTTTATATATACATCTTTCTAATCTTTTGTAATAACAACAATATTTATGACTTTGTAATTAAGATTGTTTAAATGAAAATATAAAAGTATTCTTTAAGATTGTTATTAATAGTTTGTTCTACTATTAGTGTTATTGTAAATTATTGTTACACATATTGTTTTTCTTTAAGTGCATTGTCAAAAGAGGAAATACAAACAATTGCAGAAAATGAAATACTTAATATGGAGGAAGTTATTTTAGATGTGGAATTACCTATTACCTTATCTGATCATTCTAAAAACCATATTGAATCTGTATTATGTGTTTGCAATAACAATGTATGTTCAAATATCTTTAATAATAGAAAGTATTATTACTATTTAAAATCATTTTTATTATTTTTGATATGATGCTTATGTATCTTAGAAAACGCGTATGAAAATTGTTGGAGCCAATTTACAATATCATATATATAGAATGACAGAAAGCGAATCTGCAATGTCAATTATAGAAAATGGTAATGAAGAATTACCAGCAGCCAATCAATGGCTTTTACCTTCCAAAGAATTTCATTATCTATGGGAAAACATGTACTATGACTCAAATATAAAGCAAAATGTAAGCTTAATATATATTCTTTCTTTTCTTTTTTATATTTATTTGTTTTAATCAAAATTTATTTTTTCTTTTTTTCTTTTAGTTATTAAATTTTGTAGAAACAGCATTAATATTTTCTGATAATCAAATAAATCCTAATATCATATCATGGAATAAAGTAGTATTACTACATGGACCTCCGGGCAGTGGAAAGACCAGCTTATGTAAAGCACTAGCTCAAAAAATTGCAATTCGTTTTGGACATCGATTTACATATGTGCATTTAATAGAAATAAATAGTCATAGTTTATTTTCAAAATGGTTTTCTGAGGTAAATTATCTCTCTTCTATTGTTATATAAAAATGGAAAGTTAAGTACTTTATAAATAAGAATTTATTTTATTTCAGAGCGGAAAATTGGTTATGAAATTATTCGATGAACTTAAAACTATTCACAATGATTCTAACCGGTTAGTTTGTATTTTAATCGATGAAGTAGAATCATTGGCACACACTCGTAAATCCTGTGTTAATGGGACAGAACCTACAGATTCGATACGTGTGGTAAATGCTTTACTCACTCAACTGGATCAAATGAAACATTATCCAAATGTTTTAATTCTTACGACAAGTAACATGACCGAAGCCATAGATTTGGCATTTGTAGATCGTGCAGATATAAAACAATATATTGGCCATCCCACAGAAGATTCTATATACAAAATATATACTGCTTGTATAAATGAATTAATGAGGGTACTTTGTTATCATTATATATCACATAATAACTAATATGTCACATAATAACTAATTGTTAAAATTTTCAGACCGGACTAATAGAGATGGAAGAAATACATAATCTTGCTTATCTCAAAGCTCATGGTTATGAAGAAAATTATGAGACAAAACGCTCTTTAATACTGCTGGAAATAAGTAAACAAAGTTATGGTCTAAGTGGACGTACATTGAAAAAAATACCATTTTTAGCAAAAGCACTTTATATACATTCAAAGAAATCTACATTGGCTCAATTTTTGAGAGCTATGCATTATTCCATAGAAAAGCAGAAAGATGAAATTTTGGAACAACAACAATAAAAGAAAACATCTCTATTTTTTTTATTAACACGAAATACGATTTTTAATCATGCAAAATGTAAGCAGATATATTTGACCATTAATTTTACTATTACGTGTTTTAAATATTTGATAATAATTCTTAATATATTTATTTACGCATTAATAATAATAAGTGAAAAAGAGAGTTAAAAAGAAGATATTAAATAAAAAAAGAACTTTTATACAAAAGAGCGCGTATTTTTGAATTTGACAAGGCGCATCATTGGCGCTCTCTGTCGGCGAATTGAAAACGCTAAGTTTTCCCATTCTACATACAGTTGTTTGATCGAAGGTGGGTAGTAGGGATAAAACTGCGGCATAGGTAACGTAATGCGCATCAGTCAGTTGTTTTGAAGCGGTCGTACGTGTCACTTGGATTACTTGATTTGCGATTAACACAGTGTTTTTCTTTTTCTTTATCACTCGTAGATACGATTGAGATCGTGTTTAAAAGCTGATATAAGATAATATCGTAATATTTCGGTGACAGGCCGTGTGAGATATTTAATCATAAATTATTAGTGAGATTTAAAATAACGTTTGGTGAGAGTGTTGTTTTCGAACGACCTCGTCTTATTCATTTTATCCTCGTTTCTATTTATTATTATTGCAAAAAATTAATGATACCAAGATCGTTAAATCATCGAATTCGTTTCTAAGAAGGATGTTTGATCGCGACACAGCGATACATCTCATTGCCGGAGGGTGAGTTTTGACGCATTTATATCTAATACTACGACATACTCATCTTCGTAATATTTTTAATTTATCACCAATTTTTGGTTCTTGATTATTATGATTTTATAATTAAATCATTCAACAATTATTTGTTATTCTCATCAAATTGTCAGGGTTAACATATGTATGTATTTTCCATCTCTTGTATGTATACACGATGTATTTTGCTGCGCAGTGTGAACCAAACGATTTGATTGGTTATTCCTTTCCGAAACACAACGTCTGGCCCGGTCTCTCCTTGCCCCTCTTTTCTTCCTCTTCCTTCTGCTTCTAACCCTTTTTTATTTTTTTTTTTTCATTTCACACGACTTTTTACGTACAAAAACATATCTAAATACATAGTACTGAAATACCCTTTTACAAGAAATTTTATTATAATTATTTCACACATTATTCGTTTTATAAAATGTAATTAATTAGACATTTTAAATATAATCATAACTTAGTAGGTCATTTAGAGATATAATAAATTTTTTAATAAATTTGTTCGTCATCTAGTTTCTTTTCTACTTCTTTAGATTTTTACTACTTCTCAAATATTTAATAATTCGAAGAATTAACTGTTTGTTGTCTGATATGCGTGCTACGTCGTACTTGTGCATGGAGCTTAATTTATAACCGGTAGATAGAATTGCGTGTTTAGATCATAAACTACTACAAATATCTAGGACGTTTAGACATCATTTAATAAATATAATTTGTATTCTAATCATCTTTTCGTTATCAAAAATAGTTTTAATTGAAACTTCTTGTGTCAAATTAATATGTTGAGTTTGAAAAATGAAAACACTATTGACTTAGGTTAGGTTATTATTATTATTATTATTTTTAATGTTTTCGTACGTAGTTTCGTAAAATAGAAAAAAATTGATGATAAAAAGGATTAATTAAATTAGTAATTATTGCCAAAATAGTTATATGCAGGATAGTATTACTAATTTTAGAAAGTTAACATCAATTTTCCACGGTCTCCTTCACGTAACTCGTATGACGAGAAGTAATTTGCGTATAATCATTAAAATTGCTACTTCAGGTGCAACTATTCTTTTTTACTAACTAACGCAATCATTTTTATTTCATTGAAGAGTCTTATAAAAGCGGTAAACAGTTAACATGTGTTTAGTATAAATCAGTGAACAGTTAATAAAAAGTTTCTTCGTATGTTTTTGAACGATAGACGCATATCACACAATAATCTTCAATTTTTGTTGATTAATCGAAATTCAAGGTTCGTTGGATTGTATTTTCATAGTACGATGTTGTATTACTTCGAATGCAGAATTTATTGTGCTTGTATATACAGTTTTTTTTTTTTTACGTGAAATAAGCATTATTATTTACACAATAGATATTTAATTTCATTCGTGCAATGATAAATAATAAAATGATTATCTGTTTATAGAAAATGGCGTAATAAAATTCGTTAGAATTTTGGCGCGCAAAAGTTAGCTCATACGTAATAAACATATTGAATGTAGCAGTTATTTCTTCCTTGCATTTGTTTTTTTTTAAATTTATTTTCTTGTCCCTCTTATAGTTAGTCGTCTCTCTTTCAAAATACACATGTGTCATATTTATCGGTCGTTCTCTCTCGTACATACATGTGTATGCATTTCTAGTTCCTAGCAAGCAACTTTAATGCGCTGTTCTGTAGGGTCTTCTCGTAAAAATTCCTTTCATTATTTTCAGTCTATAAAATATTTATCAGAAACATCACCTAATATCATTTTTATATTATTATTTATTTTATATTATTATTATTAATGTAGAAAATCATTTATTTGAAGTTTGCATACATTTGTTACAATCTTACTATGATCATGTCAGAAAATTTCATCTTGCCGTAATTTTATTCTGCGTTGTTAGAAATCGTATTGTTATTGTTTTTGTTTACATCGTTCAAGTAACTTATTTTTTTCTTTCTCTCCTCTGTAGTATGTATATACGAGAAATATTGAAGACTCTTATTCTATTAATAATAAAGAGAAATACACGGTTTTATTTATATTTATTTATTTATTTTTGTTTTTTCTTGGGTTGTTGAATATAGTGTTGCTGGTACAACAGGAGCTATAGTGACCTGTCCCCTCGAAGTGGTTAAGACACGTTTACAATCCTCTTCGTCTGGCTTCCACCCGCCACCAGTGAATAAAGAGTTTACGTCCGGTCATGTCACGTGTAAAAGTTTTCCAACACCGGAGCAAAGGAGGAGATTGTGTACCGGAGGATATCCAAGGTAAAATTATCAAAATAATTTTTATCTACATCTTGTATATCAACGTTGCAAAAACAATTTAATATTAAACGTGATTTAAACGGAACTGTAATATTTGAACGAATATAGAAAAGCACCGTGCCCGTGAAGTTCACGGAACTGTGCATTAAGGGTTCAAATCGTATATTAATATTTAATTTTTATTTGGTATTATTTTTTGTTTAAAGGTGTTCCTTTCTGGCTCTTTCACATTGTGGCGTGTCGACACCACCAGGTGGTAGTCCACACGCTTATCCAACACCCGGTATTATCCAGTGTATAAGATACATCATTAAGAATGAAGGTGTGCGTGCCCTTTTCCAAGGTCTCGGACCAAATCTCGTTGGTGTTGCACCTTCTAGGGCAATCTACTTCTGTGCATATTCAAAAAGCAAAATTGCTTTTAACACGATACTACCTCCGGATACTCCGATAGTCCACGTATTTTCGGCATTTTGCGCTGGTAAGAACAGAAATTAGATCCTTTTCAAGTATATCTATACACAAGGGTGGATTGAAAAATTTGAAACTTATTTTTTTCTAAATATTTTAATATATGTCGAATTATAAAAGTGAATTGAACCAAAATAAAAAATTGCTTCTGTGTTAGATTACAAACTTTTCAACCCACTCACGTATATATGCAAAGAAAAAATAAGAATATATGTAAATTTAAAAATGTCTATGTACATATATACGTTGGAGTAAACGTGTAATGTATAATATAGTTATTTTTATCGTTATTAGTCCATAAATAGAGAAGATACCTTAATAGAAACTAGATAATATATAGCAAAAATATTTTGGCTTACTTTTTGGAACGGCGCCGAAATATCGAAAGATTTTATCCTTTGAACTCTTGATATATTATATATATATATTAATCTCGATTAAACGTTACGCGTTATAGGTAATCGTGTTGTGTGAAAAATTGCTTGGTATAAAGGGATTATTTTTATTTAAATATTCAAAATAAAATATAATTACGAAATAGTAGAAATCGGTAGTGATGAAAGCAATAATTCATTCAATGCTTAATTTAAAAAAAAAATTAATTTTTAGATGTGAAGAATTTTCGTTTTTTATTATGACGTGTATTGTACGAGAAATCGCGTTATATGAAATCTTATATCTTTGCCGCGTTATAAGAATTCACATTATATATCTACTGTATATTATAATATATTTGTGTGTGGAATAGATTGAAGGATTTATTAAACTAATAAGTAGGAATGGTAGTTCATAAGTATGACGTATCTTCTTCCATCTATCATGTTTCCTCTCGTATAATTTATCCCTTTTTTTTCCAAAGATAAGAGTACGTAGAACATGCGTTTGCAAACGTCAGTTATTTTTTACCTACCGTTAATATCTAGTTTATAATTATGGTGTACTGATCTTTGCGACTTGGATAACCTCCGTTATATGTTCGACTTGAACTGATTTCATATCATCAATTTCAAGAACCGATAATGTGATCGATTGTTTGATGGAATTTTTTTGATCTTTTTTTATCGTTATGTTTGATTTGTCAATTGAACTAAATTTGATTAGATTCGCCATTTTATTGAACGTAATACTGTTTTTTTTGGAATCAACAGCACACGGTTTGTTGTTTCTTCAAAAGGAGAAACACCCATCAATTCATATTACAAACCATATCCACGTTGCTTGACTTTAGTAATCCAAAGTGGGTAAGCTGCTGACTTATTGGACGTGATCAAAAATTTGATTATATTTCTTTTTATTTATAGATCGTATTTTGAAAATTTTGTATTTTTCTTTTTAGTTAGCATTCGTTTGTTGAAATGAATAGGACGTTTTTTTGGAATAATCGTGTGTTCGTGAGAAAAATGTTTAATAAAAACAGTCTGTTAAGAATTCCTGTTTCTAAAAACGTATGCATATTTTATTTTATTTTATTTTTTTTTTACTTTTATTTTTGCTGTTAGAAATCGGTCAACTTGATGAGAACAATGAATGTCTTTTTAGATATAATATTCTTTTTCTAATTTTCTCTATCTTTATCTTTTACAATATTTATTAATACTTTTCTTCAATAAAACAAAGTTTTTAATAGAGACTATATAGATAAGTTATCTTTGTTCTCTCGAAGGGGGAAATTGAACTTCAACCGGGAATAAGATTACCTCCTCCGAAGATTTCTTCGCGGGGAGTCATCATCTTTATTTTTCTATACTGCTAACTGTATGTATTTGTTTTACAATTTATTTATTAATTAGAAATTCACATATTATTTAGATAGAATTTGCGAATAGATATTTGATTTATCGACGAAATGTGATAACTTTATTTGATTATTTTTAAATTAGATAAAACGATTGTAATTTTATTGAATGTTGTACAGTAAAATAATTTGAAAGTTGAAAAAAAGAAGGAATTGGGATAAAAAGAAAAATGATTACTGCACAATACAATAATCTCGTTAGTTCCATTTGTTGATATTTTTAGTACAGCTCATTGATAATGTGTCATTCGATAAGCCATCCATTCGTTAACTTAATTTCGTCATTTATCTATCTTTGATAATACGTATCATAATCTCTGTCTTTTATTATACAATGAAAATTATAATTCCACAATATAGTAATCGTTAAAAGAATGTCATTGGAGAGAAGCTTAGGATAGAAAATATAAATACTTATCTTCGTTCATGTTCCCTTTTCCCTTTTTTAACACGTGATAATGGTCAAGTAGGCATTTCTCATCTTTTATTCAGTCGGTGTTCTAATTTTGACTAAAAAATGAATAAAAATAAAATAAATCTTTGACTCTACAGTTTCATAATTCTAATATTCTTAATATTGTTTATATACCACTTCCAATTTTTCATAATATTTATTTTTATCTCATTTACGTTTTTTTTTTTACAATAAAACACGATTTATTCCGAGGAAACAACAAAAAATAGAGTCGCAATCATTTACGTAGTACATAATACCTTAAACGCGGTAAAATTAAAAAAATAATTTTTATAAAAATTATCGATATTATATTTTTGATAAACGAATATTATCATAAATAATATAATGTGAAACAAAAATTAAGTAGGTGAACAATTTTTTTAAGGGAAAAAACATTCGAAAAAGATACGATAAAATCAGCGTGACACTGCATTTAGATTCGATGTCATTGTTATTATTAATAAGATATATAATGTTGTATGTCGCGTGTGATTCTTCATCTATCATATATAATACACAAATTACAAAAACAGACCACTTATAACTTGAATTTGATCGCATTACGTTATACAATCTCTCATCTTCCTTTTGATATGAATACAATGGACGTTTAAATAAGTCGCATGCATGCTTGTAATGCATACATATATTTAGAAAATAAGTATATATATACACATTATATTATGTGTTCCGATAGAATCTGTTTACTCGCTTGTTTACCAACTGTTAGCTTTGGGTCACATTGAAACCACCCTCTTCGTCTCATCTTTCTCCTTCATCTAACTCTTTCCTCTCTTTTCTCTTCCTCCTCTTCATATCTACAGATTAGACAGAATGATAATGTATTATATAGTAACCTTTTTAATATCAATTTAGAAAATTAACCCTAATTCTTCCATATGTCTGAAAATTTGCTCTTGCTTCCACCATCCCTTTTCTATTCTTCATTCTTTAACCCTCCTTTTTTCTTTTTTCTTTTTTTTTTTTTCTTTTTTCCTTCCACGCTCCTTCTTCTTCGGGGTCAGGAACAACGACCGAGAGAATGTGTGTGCACGAAGCATTAGATTCTATTTTTAAACAGTCTACTGCTTGGCTGTAATTCAATACTCTCTCTTTCTACCTTGTACACACAGTGTTGAACCTGCGTATTTACTAGAAATGAAAAACATGCCACGACAATCAAAAAATAATAATAAATTTTTAATAAGATTACGAATGCACAATCATTATTATTGTATTGTATTGTGTTATGTAATGTGATGAATTAAAGATAGTGTTGCAGCTTCATTTTTATCTATACGTTTTGCTTGCTGAATTTTTAATTTTTTTTTTTTTAATTTCTTTTTATTTGTACTTGATAGATTGTACTGACGATAAGAAAATATTAAAGTTATGAAAATTTGCGTCTTCTTTGTTCGCTTATTGTGTAATATTAGTGGGTTTTATTATTATTGTTTTTTTATTTTTAATGTAGTTTTCAGATAAAATTTTTTAATTATAAAAATTCCCTCGAAATATTTGATAACTTATAAATTTATCCTGTTTAACGTTTCATATCAACACACGTTCGTAGCAAAAGATATTGCTCACAAGTAGCTATATTTATTTTTAGAATCTCTGATAATGGATGTGTTTGACACAATGAGAGGTCTATCTACTTTTATCGAGTCAAACACATTAATGTAACACGGTAATCGTTCGTTAAAGATACTTATCTTGATAAGAAGATAGATGGACATTAGAGGATCGAACGAGTTTCAAACATTTCTTTCCTAATAATTTATTCTAGTACTATAATGATGTATAGTATATATTACAATAGAATTAAACAAGTAACAATAATTTCTTTCGTAATAATGTTTTTTTATAGTACTACTATAATAGTATATATTAATAATTATATGCCATTCAAGATGATATTACAACTTGAACTTATATAATTTGCTTTTTAGTGATACTGCTATAAAAAAAAATTGAATTACGCACAGAGTAGCATTTTTGAATATTTTTGTTATACCTCCAAGCATATAATTATCAAAATTCGTAGAAAACATTTAACGATTGATCTAAACATTTTTATTTTTTTTATTTTCATACTCTTGAGTTCTTTATCCTTATGAATAACCGATTGAACGCGTGAATGATCGTTCAGGAAAGGCCATTAGCGTATATGTACACACACACTCGCGCGCATATATTATGTATATGTATATGTATATAGATGCAAAACAATTTGTTTAGCACATTTATCAAAGTATGTTCTCTCGTGGTATGTTAAAAGTCCTCCTTTCTTTGTATTAGCTCTTTACTATATACTATATACTCGTACATATATGTGTATGTGTATATGTATATATACGGTTTCATTTTGCATGCTCACAATTGAACTTCCCGTGGCGTGTTACTCTAGTAATAAGATGGACGTATATGTATTCACACATACATATATACATATGATGTGTTATTCTTCGGACAACGTGTTTTCGATCTTGTTTTTAAATTTGGTTGCACGTGAATAAGATGGATAATGCATAAAAGTTTGAACGGAATAAGAAGGTTACTCGCGAAAATTAGCGGCTTCCTCGAAAAATTTCAAATATATGCTAAATATGTAATCTTTTTTTCCTCCTTGAAAAAAGAAACGAGATAAGAGGAAAACAATGAGTTCGTCTACCTAATTTCGCTTTAAGGTATCACAGAAAATGGTTGTTTAATTTAATCAAATGATAGCTGTTACATAAAATATCTGTTCATTTTAATGATAAGTAAAATTGAATATACTTTATGTATTTTTGAAGACGTATTGCTCATAAAATATTTTAAAATTAAAACAATTGCAATTTTTACGTATTATAATAAATTTGAAATTGTATATATTTAATGACTCGTCATCAACAAATTGCGCAAGTGCATTGAGCATTCTGCCAGTAAATAAGAATTAAAAAGTATAATTATTATAACTGTCGTTGCAGAAGTAACCATGTAATTTAAAGAGTTAACATTCCAGAGAACCGAAAGTTTTATTTGCCTATTGTTATTAGGATATGCTAGGAAAGACTGTTGTAAATTTATCATTTATTAGCTCCTTCATTAGCTCTATTCTATTGTCCTTGACCCGTTTTACTTTGTCTATTCTAAACAGGTAGATATATATATTTATATATTATATACTATAACTCTATTAACACATCATAAGTCATTCCTCTAGCATCTATCTAACTAAATGTAAATGAGTAGATATATTAATCCTCATTAATCATTAATGATTAATATTATTACCAATGATAACGAATTTATATATAAATAAATAGACCATATAATAACTAAAAATTAATATTATAAATCAAGACGTAACATTTTATAACTTGTTTGTTAATATTTTTCTATAATTTGTTTTTTAGATTGCTTAGAAATTTTATTGCAATTTAATTTCTAATGCATATATATATTTTTCTCAAAATTGGCATGAATTTTCAGGATACTTCTTTACCATTAAATTTAGAAAATTGTTTTAAAGTTATATTGAAAAAATATAAATCGACATAAATATTTCCGGCAGAGCAATAGAAACGAAAATGATGACTATTCGTATTGCATCAAATTGCACTTGTGTCGTAATGTTGTGATTAGCGTAACATAATACGAATATTGCCAATACGTTGATAAAGAAGACACAACGAGACGAAGACAAGGATTATAGGTAGAGTATGGCAAATATGTATGAATGTATATGTGTGTATGGTGCATTGCTCCTGTGGTCGGCCTCTAAGTAGGTCAATGGGGCTGCTTTGAGAGACATAAGCCAGTTCACACACACACGCATACGAGTTCAGTTTTAAAAGCCAGCAGCTAGCTTTATAGATTCGTCGTCGTTGAAGTAAAAGTATGTATCTTATATCGAAAAATTGCAAGCTCGTGTATAAGTTTCTCGAAGTTTTCTTCTCTCATTGTTAGCTCTTATTGATCGTCTCCCAACAAACTATAAATTATGTAACGAATCTATATCTACCTATATGATTGTTTACTCATATCTGTTAATGCACTGGACATTTCTGAATAAGTTGGAATCATTAATGTTAAATTCAGGACAAAAACATAAAGATAAAATTTGTATAAACATATTCTGATCATTATTTCGATATTGTTTATATTGTTTTATATTATATTTATATTAAAATTGAGTCTGTATATTTTTAAATATAAAAAAATAAGATACTGCATAAGAGTATACATTTACTTATCATATATACAAGCATATATGCACGTATTTATTTATGTTAAGAGGATATATATATGCATAGAGATAGTAAAATTGCTTAGTTAGGCTTTATGATGATAATAGCGTTACGAAAGTAACGATCTAACTAAAAACTAAGTAATTGAAAGATCTTTTATATATATATTCAAGCTTTTACCCGATAACTTTAATCGAAATGTTTACTAAGTAACATGAACTCGTACAGTTAGAAGGATTGATCATGTTGGAAATTGATTGATAGGATGATATAATAATTTTTTATGCATAGAAATTTTCAAGGTGATATATTTATTCGATATTAGTTTTCTCCTTGCGGAAACGTCGAATTTAGAACTTGGCATCATCAACATGATCTATGTATGTCCTTCGATCGGTTTTGCCAGAATTTAGTTAAATTTGTGATATTATATCTCCTTCGTAAAAGATACATATAAGAAAATAAATTATAAAAAAATAAAAAGTAAGAGAGACAAAAATTGTTTTAAATAATATGACATTTATTTTATATTACGTTACAGGTTTTGTGGCATGCACATTGACAAATCCTATTTGGTTTATCAAAACTAGACTTCAGCTGGATCATCGAACGAACAAAATCACTTCGATAGAATGTATGCGGAGGATATATCGACAGTCGGTAAGATAAACTCTTTTCCAATTCGAGATCTTTATATTTATTTCCTTTTTCTAAGATTTAGTCTCTTCAAGGATGCTAATATTCACCTGTGCATTTGATTTTTTTTTATTTCGTTTTTAATTAAAATTATTTCCACTTGAAAGACAAAAACAAAAGAAATAAAAATCTGATAGATATAACAGTATATTATACTTCAGTATCTCTCAAGAAGAAAAACATAAATCTTATCGTATGATAATAATGACATCCAAAGCATCGGTAGTATAATTTTTTTTTTTTTTTTTACAAAAATTTTAAAAGTTCTTTTCCCAGTTAAAAAAAAATGCCTCTTGAAATTAGGTTAGTGGTTACAGTAGTCGTTATTCATCATCTCTTTTCAATTTAATCGTTGAAAATCCTTCTAATCAATATATCTGAATGTTCATGTTCTTTTATTCATACTTCTCTCATTCTCCCTCAGCCAACATTTCTCTCGTCCTTAAATAATTTAATCTAAACTGTCTATTTCTTCCTCGAAAGATAAGATATTTCAAGAAACATTTACGTCTTAATCTTTTCTTTCTTTTTTTTGTCATTTAATCGATACAAAAACTTGAGTATAAACAACGAAAACTGTGTATATATAATATTGATGTAAATACTCTGTGTATATCATCGTCATGTATATTCATATTTTCGGCAAACATCGTCCAATCGATCAACGTTCTCATTAAGTGTACGTACAACTACTTCAGCTAATTTTAAATTAGAACTTCTTCATAGTTAATCATAATATTCTAAAATTAAATACTACGACGCAAATAAATTAAACGAATAAGAGAGAAAATTGCAAAATAAAGTTTCCTGCATTACCGACATAATAAAAATCTATTTTTTCGACTTATTTTTTGCAATCAATTGAAGTTTTAATTATGATCATAATCGTCATTTAAAATGAGAAATGGAAGAAATTTAAGTGGAAGAATGTTGTTTCGACAGGAAACAGTTAAAAAAATAACCAACTAAAAGAGATGTTTGCGAATGCATTAAATTTCACGTTGAACTCATATACACGGGTATGTGTATATGTATATATGTATTATTGCTTAGGATTGCGTACACTGATATTAAGATTGTAGTTGCTGGCGGACGTGAGCCAGGTTTAAAATGGTCTTCTTCAACCTACGAATAGTAACTGAAGACAAAAATAATTTTTGCAAAACGCGTCTGGTAGGCGGGTTTCTCTTCTTTATATCTTCAAGACGATGCGTGGTACGCGCCGAATAAAAATTTCAATTGCAAATACGTAATAAGTATTATTTTTGTATCTTTGTATTGTATTTTTGATATTATTTGTTTTCTTTTTTTTTTTGGCTATTTACAGACAATATTATACTACATAAATTCAAAGTTTGTAAATGGTCCAATAATTACTAGACTTGCAGTTTTACAATTTTTAGAAAAAAATAAGTCGAAAAAATTTATAAAAAAAAGAAAGTAATTGATTTAAAAAAAAAAAATGTAATAACTGGTTCCACTATGTAATATCAAATCAAGAGTTTTCCATAACAATCAGAACACGATTGTTATCGATTTATTTCCATATTCGATTTGTTTCTATCATCTTAAAATGTTGTCCTTTGTTATTTCACTTACATTAGTTTAGTTTAACTAGATTCAATTTAATCGTTTCCGGTCTATTAACAGCACTATTACGTTAGTATGAACTATCACACAAAGGCGCCAATATAGTATAGCCGTCTATCTTGTGAGCACGCATCGTAAATACGAGCTTGAGAATGCTTCAAAAGTCAGTAAACAATGAGATGCTTGTATATATTTTAAACATTTTGACTAACAATCTAATATTAATACACATCGATAACAATAAACGCTATTATCAGGTTTTGTATCGTTTTAAAAAAAAAGATTTTTGGGTGCATTTACAAATACAAATTTGTAATTGGGAATAATTAATGAAAGTAGATCAAATCTGGCTAGCATTGTTTTGATTTTTGCATTAATTTTTATACATATTTATTTATATTTATAATATTTATATTTTATAATATCTTTTTAATTGGAAATTCGATTTATCTTTCGAAGTAATTCTTGCGTTGCATTGTTTTGTGCATGTTGTTGTCTTTTTTTTTATTTATCTCATAAGATCATTATCAAATAATAAATGAGGATTCAGATTAAGTTACAATTTTATATATATATATATATATATATATATCTACCTTTGGTTTTCTAACCGTAACTGTTGCTATATAACACATATAGCTGTTGAACTTGTAAAAGATTGTGTCAGTATAGATGTGTGTTGTGTCTCATTGCCAAGTCCATCATAAATGAACCCCATAGATGATGACGACGACGACGACGACGACGACGGCGACTACGATGGCAACGATGAGGAGACGACCTTGTTGAGAAACAGCACGTTATTATGTCGAGCTCTTGTGATCGTTCATTCGAGTATGATACTTGTAATTGTTTCAGAGTAGAAAGTCATTTACGACGTTAATGCTCTTATAAATGAATTTGTCGATCCTGCAACAAAGCTTTTTAATGGAAACTGTTGAGGAGAAAAAATTCCTGAACTTTCATTTGAAAATTTCTCTTTACGTAAGAAAGAAAATAAACGAGCACTATCTTGCAAATCGTTGCACAAATTGTTGAGAATAAAAGTAAGATTAAATTTTTCTTTAAAAAGGAGAAAGAAGTAGAAGAGAGTTATTAATTATAAGTTGAAGTTAGCACCGTTTCTTGAATTTTATTCTCAACGATTTGTCGCTTAAAATTGTTTTGAAAAATACTAATGATATTTTTTGTTCTAATTATTTTATTTTTATCTTTTTTACATCTTTCATTTGCAGGGTTTCCTAGGCTTTTATAAGGGTATTGTGGCGTCCTACGTAGGTATAAGTGAGACTGTGATACACTTTGTGATTTACGAAGCTGTAAAGGCATGGCTTGCGGCAAGGACGAGAGTTCCTTCTTCAAGAGGAGACGATAGAAAAACCTTACGTGACTTTGTAGAATTTATGGTAGCTGGTTCGTTTTCCAAAACAATCGCTTCAACGTTAGCTTATCCTCATGGTAAGAAGAAGAGAACAAAATAAACATAATTTATAATTAATTTACGTTTAATTACGAATAATAAATGAATGAAGAAGGAAAATAAATGTAGGAGGAATGTGCGAAAAAATGGTGCTTCCGGGAATAGAATTGTAAGTTCAATGTAGCTGCTCTAATATACGCATTGGTTTTTGTGTACATATTTCTTAGCTAAGAATTATTTTCAGTTTATTTTCATTTGATTGAATAAGCTAAAATAATTTAAAGAGGAAAGAGTGTATATATTTTCTTTTCATACTTATCTCTTGATTATTTTTTGTTTTGTTGGAAATTTATCTTTTATGAATCTCAACCTCAAATTTCAACTTGTATATATATACAGGGTGATCGGTAACTGGTGGTACAAACAAAAAGGGGATGATTCTACATGAAAAAATAAATCGAAAATATAGAATAACAATTTTTCGTTTGAGGCTTTGTTTTCGAAAAAATCGACTTTGAATTTTCGCAAAGTACGCGTGCCCTTGATCATGTCTCGTTATAATGGATCTCACTGTAGATCGTTTTCTCTATAGGACACGTAATTTACGAAGTAATCACAAAGTTTATTATTACAAAAATTGCTGAAAATGTTGTCCATTCTGCCGAACACATACTTCTGCTCTTCTAATAAAATTTCTATGAACACTTTTTAACGTATTCGATTGTTTTAAAGTATGAAAGGTTACAATAATCTGTTCTTTCAATTGCTGGCAACTTGCGATTTCATCATAATAGACAATTGATTGAATATGATTCCATACATAAAAGTCAAGCGGAGTTAAGTCAGGAGAGCGTGGTGGCCAAGCTATTGTTCCAGCACAACCAATCCAGCTTTGGTAATGTTGGTTTAAAAAATCTCTTACATGACGATTAAAATGTGGCGGATAGTAAGATAATAGGTAGGAAAACACTTCCGTGTCATTGGAAGTGTTTATCAACATAACTTCAATCGAGAAAACGATCTACAGTGAGATCCATTATAACGAGACATGATCAAGTGCACGCGTACTTTGCGAAAATTCAAAGTCGATTTTCTCGAAAACAAAGCCTGAAACGAAAAATTTTCATTTTACATTTTCGATTTATTTTTTCATGTAGAATCACCCCCTTTTTGCCTGTACCACCAGTTACCGATCACTCTGTATATTTATTATCAAATTTAAGGCATTATGAGAGAAGTTGTATAATTGAAAATTAATTAATAGCATAAAAAATAAATTTAAATCATTAGTATATAGAGGTAACCCTCCTATAACACGGTAGAAGGTTCCTAGAAAATGCCGTGTTGTTTTCAGACCATGGAGATGAAAAGAATTACTTTCCGCATCAGTGTATCTTTAAAATGGCAAGCCTCACTGCGGTTGTAGAAAACCAGTGTTGTACAAAGGTTTTTTTTTGAAAAGAAACTGTATTATAGAATGCCGTGTTGTAGGAGGGCTACCTGTATATTCAATGATCTTTACAAAGTAATTACGTAATTATTCGTTGCGTAATAATTATCATTAAATCGTGATAAAATATTCAATATTAATCAAACAAATTTTGCTTATTGTACGAATTATTATATTAAGAAAAATGTATCTACTTCTTAAACGCAATCTATTGAATATATTCGATTTTAATATCAGAAAATCGTAGAAGCGTGTAGACTTATATCGTTCGTTTTTATATTAATTACAATAGATATATATATACATTAGTGTATACGTGTTAAGTCATCACTCTTGTCTATCACTTTTGTAAACGACTGCAAACAAGATTCTGCCAATTGTTCTAAAGATAGTACGAGCCTATATACTTCACGTGCCAACCATTCAACCAACAATTACGTATTAACGTATTAGGCTTCCATATCCCATTACTCGAATATAAGGACTGTCATTTAAAAAAGAAATTTAAAAAACAAAGAAAATTAATTAGAGTGAAATTTTTTATCTAAATAAACACTACATTTTTATATATGTCAAAAAATATGCTGCTCGAATGGTTACAAAAAGAAACATGAAAACCAAAAAAACTTTAGCCAAGTTGCATTTTTTCTTCCTTTCGATGTGCATCGGGTTAAAGTATACTATTATATATTTGAATATTTGAAAAAATATATTACTTAAGATTCTTAGTATATAAGAAAAATATAAGTATATAACATGCTTAATAATATATTATTTTACTTTTAGAAGTGGCAAGAACACGTTTACGCGAGGAAGGTACAAAGTATCGAACCTTTGGTCAAACTTTAAACACCGTATATAATGAAGAAGGAACCAGGGGTTTGTACCGTGGACTTGGAACTCATTTGGTAAGACAGATTCCAAATACAGCTATAATAATGGCCACTTACGAAGCTGTAGTCTACATCCTGACGCGACATTTCCATTCAACCACTGTAAATACAACGAACACAAGGACACAGTTTTATGCTGAGACTAAAGCAAAGAGGGAATTGGCCTAGGATTTGCTAAAAGGTCCTGAATAAAGGGCCTTCGTTCTAAATGCTAAGATTCGTGTTCTGAGGGCCACGTTTCATCAGGTTTTCATTGTCCTCCTCCTGCTCTTCATCCTCATTATCATCGAGGAAATATTTAGAGATACCATGGAAGAGATGATGATGGTGAGAAGTCCTTTGGAGCACAATTACGATTGTTACATTGAAAGTAGCAACAAAAGGTACCACGACGTAGAACAACGCCTCAATCCTCTAGAAAGTCTAGCAAAAAAAGTAGTCCTTCATCCTTTCAGGTAGCGACTAAAACGCATACGCATGGAATCCTGTTGTCTTGTGTACCTTGTATACCAAACGGGTCAATACCAAGTGAGGGCTGATTTAAAGCTGGAACAATGTGCTGACACACGTTGCTTTTTTTCCTTTTTTCTTCTATCTCTATCTTTATCTTTATCTTTTTCTCTTTCTCTTTCTCTCTCTCTCTCTCTCTCTCTCTCTCTTTCTTGCTCTTTCTCCTTCTCTTTCTCTTATTAATGAAAGAACATTTTTTATCTGTAACGGAGATGGGAGATATATTATATAGATATAGATTATATTATATTAAACATATACATATATGACTCTTTCGAAAAACTGTATTCTCCGATAATTTAAGATTTTCTATTCCTTTTTGCAAAGTTGCTGTTTCGTCATCATGTATGTTTATTATATTTCAAAATAATCGACAAATGATAGATGGAAAACGAACGAATTGTTCATTGTTAAATTGTCTTTATTTTTCAGCAAATTTTTATGCTTATAAAATTATATTACGTTATTATTATTATTATATTTGTTTGTATATTTCGTTGTATTTGACACATGAGTAAGAAATAGATTGAAATGTTGTTTTACTTCTTCTCTTATTGAGAAAAGAGAGATTGTGTTTTAACACAACGAATTCTTTTTTTTTTTTTTTTTTGACTTTATTCTGTTATTATTATAAGAGTAATTTTAATTTTTGTTATGAAATTTTTCTTTTTATTTATCTACCTCTCTTTATTTCTTGATGGTAGAAATATCGAACATTGACATTTTTTTTTTCCTTTAAATACCTCTGTTACATTTATTATCATATCTCGACCATTTGATTCTTATTAATTAATTTAAATTTGATCATATATTATTTTATATTCAATATTACATTGAAAGATGTAAGAATCTCGAATTGTAGTAAATAAAATCATGTATTGATTAAATTATTATAAATGAATAATAAAAGAGGCCGTGATAAAATATACATACTATTCGTTTAAAGCTTGCAATTAATATTTCGTGTAATATTGAAGATATCGATTATTAATAGTGATAACAAATGATGAAATAAAATCTATTTTGTGAATATAGAAAAAAAAATACACATATTATATCATATACCGTATATACTACGTATTTAAAAATACGTTTAAACAAAAACTTTTCAAAGATTTCTAATCAAAATAGCAATGTATTCTTATTTTTTCTTTTTCTTTTTTTTCTTTTGGTTTATTAATTCTTTTTTATTTGTATAGAATGAAAGAACATTGACATGTGTATATATAATAATAAATTGTAGATTTGAGATTGATAGATATACAGTCATTATTATTATTATTATTATTTTTATTAAGATAATATGATGTACATATACATAGAAACCCATATGAAATTCTTATTAAATATTTAAGACAATATCATATATTTTGCTGCCTAATATTTTTATTTGCTATTATTTTAGACAAAATTATATTATATTAAGGATGGAACCAAAATGTTAACATATGCGCATATTTCTAATGATATTAAAGTATTCGATATAATAATAATATAAATTAAGTGAACAATTTCTAAGTAGTTTTTGTAAATCATTTGTTCTTTCTTGAAATTTTTTAAGCTACTTTTCTATTAAGACAATTAAACTATAATCCAATATAAAAGAAATTAGTCTATTATGCATGTGCATAGATATATAAAAGGACGAAGAATATCAATTGATTATTATACTATTGCATCCTATATATTTGAAATTGGAGAATCAATATACTTATTTAAAAATCAATATCGGTATAAAACAAACAACTAGTCGTACTATGTATTACCTATATTTATTTCTCAGGTATACGTTCCACCTACGATCAATGTTTTATTTTCAAAGAAAAAAAAAACACCAGACTACTGAAATTCTTTGTTCGCACGAAATGACGAAATTTGCATGAGATGCATAATAGATGAAAAGAAATGAAAATTATTTTTTATTTCATTTATTTTCCCCAAAAAGTTGATAATATTTATAATAGAACGTAGAATTTCTATATATGCAAATTCCATTTTTTTTATTCATGTTAAATATTCTGTAAAGAAAAATTATCACAATAAGAATCCAGTATTTTGGGAAATTATTCTAATATGTTTCATAGAGAATATATTCTATTAAAAGAAAAAAAGGAACTAATAAATATATAATTTATATATTTATTAGTATACAATGAATATATTATACTAATATATTTATATATTAGTATAATATATAAATATAGAAATATTATATTATATTCTAAATATCCCCAAAATGAAAAGAGAATAGGTGCCATTTGAATACATTTGAAATACAAACTGCGGTATATAAATGAATGTACGAACGAACTTGCATATATGCAATATATATGTTAATTAAAATATAGAAATAATGAAATTTAGTGTTGGTTAAAAAAAAGTAAAAAAGAGAAGACAAAGAAAATACTAGTATCAAAGTAAGATAAAGGAACAAATAAACGAATTTGCTGAGGGGGTTTATAGATACCGTAAACATCCAAAAGATATGTCTGTATTATTAATATTGTGATATTATCGATGGAATTAAACGAATAAAATATATAATTGATACTGTATTTTTCTGCCACTATAAACAAGGAGAATACTTTCTTATTATAACTAATAAATTTCAATGTAATCGTACATTTTTGTTTATTTTCCACAATTCTTACATATCTCCTTTAAAATTAGTAAGTAATAATATAAGTAAATATATTTAAAATACTGAATAATATAAATATTATATACTGTGATATTTGCTATTTAATATAAAACAATACAAATATGTCAAGATATAGTAATTTGTTTTTTCTTAAGTGATTAAAATGTTACGAACGATACTGATTAATTATCTAATCAATATGTTAATTAATATTAAATATCTTGCCGTATATTGAAGATCTACTCTGTGGCTAATAAATTAATTTTTATTAAATGATTATTTGTATTAATAAATAATTAATGTTTTGCCATATTGAAGATCTAAAATGACTTGTCTCAATAAATAATGTAATTTTATTTAATAGACTCGTAAAACTTAAGACACTCCATTGCGTCTAGAGCTTTAACTAATCTTGCAATGTCGAACGGTGTGTGTCCGATCATATCAATAGATTCAGAATTTGCTTTGTAATTTAATAATAATTTAATAATAGTTACGTCATTTTTAAGTGCAGCTAAATGTAATAACGTTCTTCCAGATGTATCCTTTATTTGTGAAATATTAGGATTAGCAATTAAAAATAACTTGAGACGTTTAGCGTTTCCACTTCCAACTATATCAAAAATTTTATTTCCTATATTATTTTCGTCTAGTTTAGCACCATGTTCTAATAAAATGTTGACAATCTATAAATAATATAATACATAATCATTATTATTTATTTTAATATATTATAAGAGTGTTTTTTTTATATATATAGGATATTCTACGTAAAATCGACCACTTTTGACCGATCCCTTTCGATTTTCTGGAGAAGGTATGATTTAGATTCGGAATGAACGAAAATTTAAAAGAAAAAAAAACGAATTCTTAGGAAAATTCCCGTCAGGCCACAATCGTTACTTAGTATTGAAAAAATAGTTGGGCGTCAGTCACCCGTGACTGACGCGGACTAACGAAAAGTCGTACTTTGCAAAAATTCAAAGTCAATTTTTTCGAAAACAAAGCCTCAAACGAAAAATTGTTATTCTATATTTTCGATTTATTTTTTCATGTAGAATCACCACCTTTTCGCTTGTACCACCAGTTACAGATCACCCTGTATATACATGTATTACACATATGAGCAGGTTATATAAGTGTGATCTATATAAAAATTAAACCAATTTATTACCTATTTCATAACTAGATCATTCCTATACAAGTTGTGTAATAAAGTAATTTATTTTTTAATTTTGTACTTGCGCTGTACTTTTATAATCACCAGCTCATATACGTATATTTTATATCGGTCAAATTGCACGCACGCACATACACTCACCCACACATACAATTTTGTTCTAGCATAATAAAATTATAATTCACCTCATGATGGTCACCATCAATAGCTTCGATAAGTGGAGTTCGATGATAACGATCCTTTTTATTAACGTTAGCACCCATCTTTAAAAGTTCTTGTACAATATTTAAATTTCCTTGACAACAAGCAATATGAAGAGCAGTTCGACCATCTACGTTTGTTTGTGATATGACAGCACCCTAGAAAAAAAATAATTCAGAATTAAAGAAGAAGGAATGAGAAAAAATGATAATGAAATTGAATATAATCACTTACATATTCCATCAATGATTTTAACTTGTCGATATCGCATTTAACTACAGCCGCATTGAGCATAGCAGGAAAAAGAATGGAGGTCAGTTCTTGAAATTCAACTCTTGATGATAATTTTAATGATCTCGCTACGGCATTCACTAAATCTGTTTCGAACATGAATGGAAGTTGACTTGATGTTAATTCTCCTCGTAAATTACTTTGCATTATTCTTTGCTTTTTTTTAATATTCCATTCTGTATTAGATAATACATAAGCTAATTTGGCTAGAGCGGCTTCTGGCGTCATATCAAAACCTGATATTACACCTGTTGTTGATAATAAAAGGAAAAAAATAAAAATTGTTAACATTACTCCAATTCATATATATATATATACTAACCATTTTCTTCTAATAATTTTCCTGCTTTATAAGTACCCGATACACAACCAGTTGTACATTGTGTAATATTAATGATAATAACACCACGTTCTGTAGCCGCACGAAATTCAGAGAAAATATCTTCGCGATTACTAGGCACGTTACCAGAACCATATGTTTGCAACACAACACCTTCAGTTGGTGGTTGAAGAAATGCTTTCACTAGATCTGCAGTAATACCAGGAAAAAGTCTCAAGAGACCGACGTTTCGATTCAATTTCGAATGTACCGTAAAGTTTCCTGGATTTAAATTATATTTTGACAAACGATAGTCCACTAAAAAGATTTTATTAAATATTAAATTCTAAAAAATGTAACTAAGAAAAGAAAAATGTATTAGGTGTGGAAATTAATTCGGTATCTTTTAAACAAATTTAGTGTTTATTTATAAAGTAATCGTACATTTATTATTCTTCAAAATAGTCTCCACTATTTTCGATGACATCAGTTTATCTTTCAAATAACTGGCTTGACAAAAAAAGATGACGATTTTGATGCAATGAATTTAATATCAAGACACCGAATTAATTTCTAGATTTATTGTTAATATAAAAATCAAAATATTATTTTGTAAAATTTAGAATAAATAATAACGCAACCTTCTATATTTATTCCGGCCCTAGCTAAAGGTGGAAAATTAGGAGAGTGAAATGCATCAAAAGATGTAGCCGAAACTTTACTGGTACGATTTCCTCGCATAAGATTCGTTCCAAAATATACGCATACTTCAGGTATACTATAATTGGCAGCTATTACCAAAGAAGTAAGAAAATTATCTATTCCATCATTTCTTGTATCGAATATTGGAACTTGGGAGCCGGTTAAGATAACTATTTTATCAAGATCTTCCAACATAAATGACAAAGCGGATGCTGTGTAACTCAAAGTATCTGTTCCATGTAATACCACAAATCCGTCATAATTGTCGTGATATTTCTTTAAAACAGAAAAAGTAACTAATATTTAATAAAATATATCAGATCGAAAGTTTTTTCTTTGATATTTGTTTTTACATAAAAGATTTTTCACGAGTTATGATTTCTTCCTTTTTTTTTCTTTTTTTTCTTTTTTTTCTTCTTAAATGTCAATAATATAACGTAATAAATACGTAAATAAGTGCGCAATAATTTACTTTGATATCATTAGCAATACGAATCCAATCGTCCATAGTCATGTCACTGGAATCGCAAAGTGGTGAGTATTCTAATACGTCATAGATAACACGACACTTATCCGTAGTTTTAACCCTGGTAGAAAAATAAATCAAATGAATCATATATATATACATTTTATCGTAAAAGTGATTAGTTTTAAATAAATAGAAGTAAACATATTATATAAAGAGACAATATGCTGTCTTTTTACGATTAATAATACGCTTACGGTAAAACCAAAGGACCAAAGGAGTTGCTAGTCGTTTTGCCATATATTTTCTCGGCATAATTACGATCATGTAGGTGAGAAAATTGTCGTAAATTATTAACAAAAGAATTTGCCTTCGGTATCAACACTAGAATGTTAAAATATATCAATAGAGAGAAAGGGAAATAATCCTACACAATATGATTACATCAAATTAATTGTACATCTTTGTTTACAAATCATAAAATGTATTATATAATATTAAATAGTACATATCTTTCAGAAATTTCGATTATCTTTAGATGTAAATTTCTCGAAAATAAATAATCAGAATAATATAGTCATACAAATCAATTTAATTCGTTTTTTTCGTACTTTAAAAAAATATCAAAAAGAAAATATAAGGTTCCATTTAAAGAAATATTAATTTAAATCTCGTAAATAAAATGATTTTGACAACAAATTCTTTCAAACATTACATTTCTTCCCTGTAATAGTGCAACTTTTTTCTTTTTGAAGTTTTTAAATGCTAAACAAAAAAAATACTGAAGTAATTCTAATTAAATGAGACACCTTGCATATATAGGCCGTTTATTTTGAAAGTGGCTTAACTCTATTTATGTTCGAATCGAAATATTGAAGGGTTTGCATTTCAATGCAATTAAAAATATACGTACAGGATACTAACGAGTCATACTGCTTAAGTGTATCTAAGGGTGTCAAATTTATAGTTCCTATTAAAATAGTGACAATTATTAAGTAAATAATATGCGTTTTCTTACCAAGAATGGTGTTCGGCCACTTGCAAAATTAACAACCAGATTCATTATAAAATTTGAAGGAGCCCAAAGCCATTCAACATAATTTAAGATGCTTCAAATTGAAAAAAATAATACTCAATTTATTTTACATATCTTTGAAACACTTCAAAAACATAATTTAAACGATTCAAAACATTTTTTAATTACATCAATTATAAAACAATTTACTGCTTATTTACATTTCGCGTGCGTGGAAGGGATTTGAAAAAATCATGATATTCCGGTGGTATATGTTGTAGTAGGTCCATTATGTCCTTGAATTTTGCTCTTGTAATTTGTCTGATATTTTCATACAGTGGTGTCAATATAATATTGTCGAACTTTTTTGGTCTACCCAGACGTGGTAATAAATTCATGATTTTCAAATTTTCATTCTCATTCATCGATGTCTATAGAAAATTTGATACGGTTCATTTCTGACAAAACGCATTCAACATATATTTTTAAACAGTTTATCGATTTTCCGTTAGAATTCTGTACCTTTTTAAAAATTGTCTTTTCTAATAATTTTGTTTATATAAAAATCTTCTTGTTTCATTTCATTTACAATAAAGTTATTATCTTTCCGGCACTTTCTGATAATATTATAATAATCTTTGGGGGACAAGCGGTAAATAATTTTTTTTTAATGACATTTCTACCACGCCAAAATCTTTATCATTACGAGTGATTACGGACAATCAGAAAATAATAATTGACAATTGGAGTTAGGCTACTTTCAAAATAAACGTTTTCATCGCTTCATTAATCAGCAAATTTTCGTGTTACAAAATTTTAATGATTTTTTATATATTAGTAAATAATTACTTCAGAATGAAGATTATGTAAAAATGTAACTATTACGGTAGCTAACTCGATTTTTTTTGGAAAATGGAGCTAGGGCACTTTCAAAATAAACGGCTGATATATAACTTTTTTTTATTGTTTCCTATTAAGTTAGAATAAAATGGTATAATCAAAAAGTAACTTACAAGGAGTTTTATTCATAAAACATATAAAACAGATAAAACAGAATCATATCATAAAATATATATCGTTTCTCGAGTGATAAATATGGCGAAAAGAGGAAAGTAAAATAAACTTTCGCTATAAATACTTGTTCTTTTTAATAAGAGCACTCACCGCCTTTTTCATTTCTAATCATTCCTATAGTACCACCAGTGTATAAAACAAGAACCCGACTTTCCGACTTGACCTCACTCGTAAAATTTTCATTTTTAATCTCATTTTTTTTACTTTCATTTAAATAGATTTCATTTACTTGATCACCAATATTACCGATTAATAATTTTTGATTATTTTCGTTTAAAGTAGATCTTGACATATTGATGTACTAATGAACTATGACAGACTGATAAATATTAATAAAACCACTCGATCAAATCAATCGTACTGCTATAACTAAATTCTTAGTTCAAGCACTTTACTCATTTTATTCCCGGAAAAGTCACGTTACTTCTTACATGACTAATTCACTATTATAATTCCCTTATAATTCCTAACACTATATCTATGTTTAATGTGTATGCTCGATATCTTTCGAATAAATTTCAACTTTCGAGCAATCAAAGTAAGATTATTCTTATTGCGTCACATCTACATTACATAAGTTACATATAAGTTTGCACTAACGTTCGACTTTGTGAATATTAACGTTAAATATATGGATAATTTTCAGCTTTATAAATTATACGTATGTATATATACATACATCGACATGAAATATAAAAAAAATATATTTTTCGTTATTTTACTTATTATTAGAATATTTACTACCGCTAATTTATGCAATCATTGATAACTTATTTCCTAATTACGATTATTCTCTTAAAATCGCTCATGCTTTTCTATTTTAATTGCATAAGATTATTATTATATAATAAATGTAATAAAATTTTGTGCATATTCCATTCAGGTATATATAAATATTATATTTTTAACATTTTTGACAGTATTATAGCCCGTATTAATACGAATTCAATGAATTGGTACACGAAAAAATATAAAACGCAAGATTAGTTATTTCATATGTAAATCTGAAAAAAACGTGTGACGTAAATTGAAATAATTGAATTGTCATACAGCATTTACTGAAAACTTATAGAACTTAGAGACCTAGATAACCTTTAAATAATAAATCCTTAAATTAGCAATAAAAAATAAAAATAATCGCAATAAAAACTATTCTATATTCTGAGTTGGAAAAAATCACACAAAATAAAAAAAATTTCATTGAGATCGGTTGAGTAGTTTCAGAGTTCATCGCAAACCAACAATGTGGCACTGAATTTTTATATAGAAAGATTATCGATTTACGTGTTAATATGGATAGGAATATATTGCATAATCGAGAAGATTATAAAATAATTATATAAAAACTTTTTAACCCACTCTCGTATTACATATGATGAAACAATGTTTAAATTATATCGTATATTATTTTCATTGGATTTTAATTTCGTAAGATGATTTTTGTTTATTTAAATTAGAATAATATCTATCAAAATACTTGATAATTTTGTTAAATATTTAAATATATTGTTTTATATTTCAATTACGTTTTGAATGTACACATTGAATTTAAAAATTTACAGGTTTTTGAAAATGGCGCTTTAATGACGTCACGTTTAAATGCTTATTTCATTGGATCGATCATCTGTGTAAGAAACATATGTGGATCAAATGTTACGAATTACACGTATAGCCACTATAAAATAACAAGAATAAAATATATCCAAGTATGTGATAGATAAAAAATATATTTAATTTACAAAATAATTAATTAATGTGTATGTATTGTTCGAAGATTTATAACATTAATCGATACTAAGTGACAAAAAAAGATGGATATTGCAAAATCTTTTTTCAACGTACGCAATCATGAAGGTTATGTTGGAAAAGAAGATCATAATGTAAATATTTTTTTATGTATTTTATTATAATTACTACTACCGTAACACACATATACACATATTCATATATATAATATATTGTATATGTATCATCTATTTACAAGCAAGTAATTAATCTAATTTGTCTTAGAAAAAGTTAGAAATAAGCTTGTCAGAAGATGAATTGGAAGCAGGAGAGAAGAATTCAAGAGAACATTTGTCACCTGTACCTGGTGAACCATTTTCTGCTTTAACATCATCTATGTGGCCGCAAGATATTTTAGCTAAATTGAATCAACCGGATGATCCTAATTCACAACCCGAGTATAGGTATTACTACAGAAATTATTTTAGATTTGATATTTTTCCATTTATTTTAATATATTTCTTTTATAAAGTTTTGTAATTATGAATGTATTTTATGTTATTAAAAATAAAAATATTATACGTTGTAGATTTGATGAATTTGGTTTTCGTGTAGAAGAAGAAGACGGGCCAGAACAAAGTTCAAAAAAAATTCTTGGCGTACCTTTTGTTGAGGATCCTCAACATAGGTATAACTAAAAAGAGTTTAATTATTCTTAACTCTCTGCTCTATAATTTAATATGCAAAGATATATGCAATATCGGTGCTATATTTCATTCTAAATTTATTCTAATTTATTTTTATGCTTTTAGATTACAATGGGTTGCTCTTTTAGAATTCAGTAATAATAAAGAGGATTCTGATTTTTCATGGCAAAATGTTAATCATAGATTATCCCGTACTGATAAATTACGTGACATGGTTCGCCGTGGTATACCTCATTCTCTTCGCCCTCAAATTTGGATGAAAATGTCTGGTAATACATAACATTAAATCTGATTATTTAAATATATCAATATTTTGTTTGAAGAATATATTATAAATTTTGTTTTGTTTTATTTATTTATTAATAAAAATAATTTATGTTGCAATTCAACAGGTGCATTACACAAAAAGCATACCTCAGAAATGATGTATAAAGATATAGTAAGAGCATCTAGTAGTGACGTACTTGTGACTAATAAACAAATAGAAAAAGATCTTCTTCGTATTATGCCTGCAAATGCATGTTTTAGTCATCTTCATAGTACAGGAATACCACGTTTACGAAGAGTTATGCGTACCCTTGCTTGGTTATATCCAGATATTGGGTAAGGATAATACATATATGAATACAGGTTAAAGCGATTAACTCCAATTTTAGAATTTTTATATTTTATTATCAAAGCACTTGATCAATATGAAACTTTTTATATTTAAAATAAATTTCCTTAATAATCAAGCTTAACACCACTAAATAAGAACAACTTTTATAATTAATCAATAACAAATAATACAACAATGTATATTAATTTATTATTATTATTATTTAATTTTCTCTACTTTTTGTTTCATGGCAAATGAATAGTTTATTTAATATTATTGTGATGATCTTAAAAAATAATATATATTATGTTTATATTGTTAAGGTATTGTCAAGGTACTGGTATAATAGCTGCCTCACTATTATTATTATTAGAAGAAGAGGATGCATTTTGGATGATGGCAACTATAGTTGAAGATTTGTTACCTGCTTCATATTATTCAGCAACATTATTAGGTAATACATTATCTATAAACACTTCTTTTACAGTTACATTTTATTTTCCATCATAAATGATATTAATTAAATGATATTAATTATAAATTATATAATCAAATATATTATTATATTTTTACAAAAAAAACAGGAGTTCAAGCGGATCAAAGAGTCCTACGCACATTAGTATCTAATTATTTACCAGATATCGATCATGTATTAGAACAACATGATATAGAATTAAGTTTAATATCTTTGCACTGGTTTCTCACATTATTTGCATCGGTTGTACATATGAAGATTCTATTACGAGTATGGGATTTATTTCTTTTTGATGGTTCTATTGTCTTATTTCAAATTACTCTTGGAATGTTAAAGATGAAAGGTATTAAGGAAAATTATAATATATTATATTAAAGCATATAATTAAACTATAAAAATTATGTTATTATAGAAGTAGAATTGAAACAACTTGAAAACTCTGCACAAATATTTAATGCTCTTTCGGATATACCTGGAGATATTGATGACGTAGATCAATTATTTCGTGTAAGTTAAATAGTATAATAATTTTATTTTTACTATTATATTTATATATACATATATATGTATATATATATAATACAATTAATTATATTTTATATAGATATCATTAGAAGTAAGTGGATCATTAACTGACGTTTTAATCGAAACTCATAGGCGACGCCATTTAGCATATTTAATGGCTGATCAAGGTGCATTAGTTGGCAATCCAGATTCAATGCCAAATTTACCAAAACATCATTTAAATAGGTAAATAATTTAACTTTATTTTTCAAATTAAAATATAGATTATATCTATAATATTCATATATTAATAATGTAATGATGATAATAATGGATTTTTAAGGCGTCAGATAAAAAGAAGCAAATCAATGTTACAAACATTTTTGTTTGGAAATGATAATGAAGAAGATGACGCAAAATCAAAAAATATTCATCAAACTGGTTTGTTACTTTACATTTTGAATTATTTGATTCAAGTGCATATTTATTTGTATATATATATATATTTTTATATTGTTTTAGAAATTCTGGTTGATTTGAGAGAATCTATATTACAAGTTGCAAGACACTTTATAAATGTTGATCCCAAATTAAATAATGTTATGCTTATAGCTGATTACAGAATGGAAAGTCATGCAGAAGATCATGATAGTTATATAAATGTTTCACGTACTAGAAAAAGAAGAGCTAAAGCATTATTAGGTACAAATTATTTAATAGAAATAAGATAATTATATAAAAATATCAATAAATGCGAATCTTTGGATAATTTATAGATTTTGAAAGGCATGATGATGATGAACTTGGATTTCGTAAAAATGATATAATTACTATTATTAGCCAAAAAGATGAACACTGTTGGGTAGGAGAACTCAATGGACTTAGGGGTAACATATGTGAAAGATATATTATAATAATTAATTTTCTTACATTTATTTTATTGTTGAAGGTTATTTTTTTTTTTTTGTAACACAACTTATATGTATTTAACTCGCCATTTTTTAAATATTACATTTAAATTTATTTGTAGGCTGGTTTCCTGCTAAGTTTGTTGAATTATTGGATGAACGAAGCAAACAATATACATGCGCAGGTGATGATGCAGTCAGTAAAGCTGTTACAGATTTAGTAAGAGGTTCCTTATGTCCTTCAATAAAAGCAGTATTAGAACATGGAATGCGAAAACCATCGTTCTTAGGAGGTCCATGCCATCCATGGCTTTTCATAGAAGAAGCTTCTAGTAGAGAGATAGAAAAGGATTTTAATTCTGTGTACAGTCGGTTGGTACTTTGTAAAACATATAGGCTGGATGAAGATGGTAAAGTTTTAACACCTGAAGAAGTAAGTTTTTGAAAATAATTATTACTTACGATTTTACTTTTCAAATTTATACAGTAAATAATAAGTAATTGTTTTAACTTTAGTTATTATATCGATGTGTACAGTCCGTAAACTTGTCACATGACAATGCACATGCACAAATGGATGTTAAATTACGTTCATTAATTTGTCTTGGATTAAATGAACAAGTCTTACATCTATGGCTTGAAGTTTTGTGTTCTTGTGTAGAGGTAGTACAAAAATGGTACGGATTAAAAATATTTATAACATGAAATAAGTATAAAAAATCTTTATATTTTTACTTCGTATCATATTGTTAATACGATCAATAATGAATTTAGGTATTTTCCATGGAGTTTCATAAATAGCCCTGGATGGGTACAAATAAAATGTGAATTAAGAATACTTAGTCAATTTGCATTTAATTTAAATCCCGATTGGGAATTACCAGTAAAAAAGGAACAATCTCAACCTTTAAAAGATGGCGTTCGAGATATGCTAGTCAAACATCATTTATTTAGTTGGGATCTTTAGTGTATAATTTTTAAATTAATGTTAATATATCTGAATTTTATTAAAGATATAATAAGAAATTACGTTATAAGCTGGAAGAAAGATTTCCATTAAAAAAGTTATGGATAAATAATTTATAATTATGCAATTAATTATGTATATGTAAATTATTATGTTAGAAATTTATTTATACAAAAACAATAATATTTTAGGTGCAATATAATTTTATAAAATATTTTATTTAATGAATTAATTTAATTAATTTAATAAAAAAGTATTTCAGTTGGAAATTTTTAAAAATTTATTTTAAATATAGTTTATTTATGTTAACCTTATGCACAAGTTTTTACACTTGTATATGGGACTGTTGTTTAGCATAAATAATATTTTAATAATAATGTAGTGGTAGATCTTTGCTTTATTCGTATCTTGAAACTATCTCACAGAATTAATAAAACGAGCAATGGGAAATAAGAATATTATGTTTAGTATATATGAATTTAAGGAAATTTAATCCTAAGCAAAGAAGGAAAAGAAGCTACACACAAAAATAAATAATAATTATGTAGTAAACTTGTTGTGTGACAATAGTAATATATAATAAATTTTAATTAAAGTTATTTTATTATTTTTATTGTAAAATACACATATTGTCAAAATATATTTTTTTATTTATTCAATTAAAGTTCTTTTTTCCTTAAAACATAAAGCATTTAAGTAAACAAAAGGAAATTAAAAAATAAAAATGCAAATTAATTATAAATATTGTATATGTAATAAAGAACAAAAAAAAAATATATATATATATATATAATAAAAAGAATATATCACTGAAAAATATAAACTTTTTTGTATAATTAAAAGGAACATATTCCAAAATGAAATTATATTAATTTTACTTCTAATATTGATGGATTTAAATTTTCTCATGATTTATTATTACTATTATTATTATAAAGGAATATCTTACGAGCTACGGTAATTCAAAATGCCACTTTGAATCTTCATTAATGCTAAAACCATTTTCTTTTCTGTAATGAGACAATGGTGGTCTAGCTTTGATCCCTATTGCTGTAGGCCTTTTTTCAGGTTTCTCATCCAACATAATATTCAATAATTTATGCTACAATATAAAAAATAAGAATAAATATATGTATAAATTAAATATGATCTTATTATATATATATTATTAAAATTATTTAATTTAAAAATAACAAAAATATATATATTTAACAATTGTTTCTACCTCAGCTGGATAATGCGTTTCAAAATCTTTTGGAAACGATAATTGACGTAAATTTATAAGAGTTTCTACTCTTTCCATTTCTGTACTAAATGACGTTAACAGTTCAAAGAAAATAATTCCTAAAGAATATATGTCTACTTTGTAGTTATAAACCTGTCCATTCATTTGTTCAGGTGACATATATAACTGAGTTCCAACACAAGATGTATGTAAATTTTGTTTAACATCTGTATTTTCACTTTGATCTGACAAGTTAGAAGTTTCTTTATAACCTTCGGTCGTAGCAGTAACAAGACCGAAATCTCCAATTTTTATTTTGTCATCATAAGCAAAAAATATATTTGATGGCTGTAAATAATAAACTATATTTTTATCATGTAATGTGGAGATATAAATATGTTAACAATTAAGATTACCTTTAAGTCACGATGAATAAGACCTTGTAAATGAACGTATTCTACGGCATCAACTATTTGATGAAATATATTTAATATTAAATGATTATCCCTTGGACTTGTTTGTCTTTTAAGCCATTCTCTTAGGCTAAACCTTTGATACAATTGCATTTGTATATACAGAAACATTTTCGTAGATTTACGATTAATAGATTTTTCTTTTGAATTAATAGAAAGTGAAGTTTTTCTACATTTTGTATATTCTTTCTTTAAACACAATGGATTACTATTTTTAAGAGATGAATCATATTGAGAATCTTTATCGTCGCTTAAATCATCTTCTGTTTTACAAGATTGTGAGTCCGAACTTTCTGTGGCAGAAACACTAATATCTATAACACTTTCTTCGTTTTCTTTTTTTTCAGAATTTTCAAATACGATAAAAGAATCATCATTGTCATTAACATGATTAAGAGCATAAGCTTCACAAGCACTATCTACAGAAGACTGTTCAGGTATTGAAACCTCTATGTGGACGGAATTATTACATTTTTGTTCACTTTGACTTGTTTCTATTGAAAACTCTGATGATAGAAACTTCTTTTTGGAAATCCATTGTTTATCATGTTCTTCTAACCAATCAATAGGAGGACATTCAAACCATGCGTTAAAATATCTAACAATATTGCAATGATCTAGCTTTGCTAATGCTTTAACTTCACGCATAACACGTTCTCTAGAACCTTTACTGTAAAATGAATATATAACAAATTTCAATTTAAAAGATATAGATATACTATTATAATATTATGCTAATTATAAAAAATTTCTATAAAAATAACCTGTTCGGTAATGCGATTCGTTTAATAGCATAATTACAATCATCTATTTTATTTTTAGCTTCAAATACAACTCCATAACCACCTTTGCCTAAACAACCAATTGGTTCAAAATCTGTGAGATAACGTGATTTGAAATTAACATTTTCTCCTTGATCTGTAATTTTTGTAGAACTCTTAGATTCTATGTGTCGTTCTATTATTAAGGGCTGTAATATATAAATGTTTATAATAATTATGAAAAGATTTTACACAAATAATAATATGAAAAAATAAACAATTTTATACTAACTTACTGGAGCTATAGCATCTTTGGCTGTAGATGCTCCATTTAATAAATGTTGAGTCCATATGAAATTGAGCAGAAGTGCGGTAGTAATTGATATCACTAATACTTCTTTCCTAATAAGAGAATTATTTATATACTTTCTATAATTCTATTTAATTGATTTATTTAAAACTTACCACCAATACCAGAGGGAAACAATAATGACTTGTACTGGAGTTTCATCATCATCATCATATTCATCGTCAGACTTTTCATAGAAATTTGTGATATCTTCATTGTTAGGAAATAATAAATTGGCATTACTATTATAAGAACATTGATTGTATTTATTTAATTGTAAATGTTCTTTTGAATATAAATAGAAACCATTTCCTATTAAAATGAAAAATTGTTTGATTTTGTAAATTGTCATTAAATTTAATTTCTATTATTGTAATTTATTTAAATAAAAAACTCATATAAAAATATTCATAAAACATACCATTAATGTAATCTGAATTATACATTACAGATAAAGCAGTTGCACTACGTACACTAGCTATTTCAAAAGAGATATTTTTATCATCATTTTTTTTTTTACTTAATGGATTAGTTATCAGCGCTGTATCTGAAAAAGAATGTTAAATACTATGTTACATATCTGATTAATATGATATATTTAGAACTATATTTGTATTATATTATATATTTTTATAATTATGTACCAGAAGCAGGATATGGTTTCCAAGGAATCTGTGAATGTTGTGTAAACGTAGTTGAAGATTGCCCTAAAAATTTATGAACTTGTTCATTTTCTTGTACATATAACTGTCTATCATGCATTCCTATATAAATACTAGGTCCTATTTGAAACTCAGAGCCCCAAGTCCATTGAGAGTTATCAAATAAATTAACTTGTTTTAATCTTTTGTTATAATTGGCACTTTCTCTTTGTTCTTCTTGCCATATTGTAACAATTGGAGAATCAAACTATAAAAAACAGTTATCATAAAACAATTCACATAATTATTTCTTTTATCTTATGTCTATTTTTAAACTATTAATTATTATTGTTTTAAATTAATAATTCTAACCTTATATTGCCATAATTTTATATTAGGAGCATCTTTCTTAATTGCCCAAACCAGCCCTTCTGGAACAATAACTTTAATCTCAAATTCTGGAATTTTTGCATTATTATTATTACATAAATTTTGATTAGGAAGTAAAAGTAATTCATGTTGTCCTACACTGAAGTTCCACCTATTTAAAAAGTAATTATATATTATAATCTTATTTTATAATGCAATAAAAATTTAAATAATACATTGATAAAACTTTACTTTTCTTGACCACTATGTGGCTCAACTGCTCTGACAGTATTTTGAAGATGTTGAATGACAAGTATTTCTTCATCAATGTAACTGTCTGTAGAAATATTATAACAACCATTGATTTTGCATTCGTATATTATTTGTCCAGTTTTACTCAATACTCCTATTAACAAATGAATTAAGATCATAACGATTATATTTAGCTATAGCAATAAATGTATATAATCAATTAATTACATATATTTATATATTAAAATATTATATTAAGTATAATGAATACCATAAGACCGTGTTTCTTTCCCTCCAGAAAATACCATATCATCAGAATAACGAAATGAGGAAGATAATAATTGTTCAGTCTTGACTGGTAATTTTTCTAAATTCTCACCATCAAATTTATATAATCCTCCTCCTAAAGATGGAATTAATCTAACCCATTGTCCATTATTATTAAGCTATAAAATATAATAGACAAATTATACAGGTATAAAATAAAAACATAAAAAGAATATAATTAATTAATTATAATACATTAATAAACATATTCTATATTTAATTATGTTAGTATAAATTCGATATACTTCTCTTCGATGAATGTTAGACGATAGCATAGGACTTTCATTAAATTCCAAAGACCATAGCTTCTTTCCGTTATTGGTAGCATCTAACGCTGATACTTTGCCATCCAATGTGCTTACAAAAATTAAACTAAAAAAATTAACAAAACATTATTTCATATAATTCAAATAAATATTATTCATATTAGATAGTGCAATTTCATTTTAATACATCACCTTTGAGAATTTTTATAAGGTTCACATACAGTCAAATGATCTATTTTGGCACAGTTAACAAGGATGAAATTGTATAAAATAAGGATTATTGCATAAAAGTATATATCTTTCCAAAAATATATCTTTGACATGTTTCTTTTAAAAAAATATTTATGTACTGTACACGATGTTATTTGTTAGATGAATAGATCTTATTGTTCATTTAAATATAAAGATAACACTCATCACATATAAAGAAACTGCATAATTACATATCTATATGTAAATATATTGTTTTGAATAATACAAATACAGCTGTAATATCATATATAAGCAAATAAACAAATGGATATAGCTTCTAAATCATTATATTTTATGCCAACACGAATTTGTACACACATATCGTATGACGTGAAATAATCTGAACTGAACGTGTAGTTTATATTCAACTATATTAATTTTTTCTGCCTTAAGTTTATCAAACTGAATGTGTGGCGCGAATCAAACGGGTGTGAACTCGTGCGAATACTTGTCGTTGATTAATATGCGTAAACAGTTTTAATTAAAACTTTAAGAAGATATCATTAATTCAGGTATATAATTATAATTATATATGTTAATATAAATTTTTTCAAAAGTTATATATATATATATATGTAATAACAATTATTTTTGAATGTATTCATATCGTGAGTTAACCTCTACGTACCGGTCTTTTAAGAGTGAAAAACCATTATTGAAGAAAATAGTATATAAATATGTATTGTTGGATAATTTAAATAATTTTTTAACTAATCTATGAATTTAAATATGTAATCTATAAATAGATATCTCAATGTTTTTTATTATAATACATTGTTCTCGTACAACTTATTTATTTCAGATACTGAAGAATAAAACGTTAAGAAAATGTCACTTGCAGAAATGGAGCCGCTTAAAATACATTTAGATGCTTTAGAAATGGCTGGGAAAATGGTTGATAAACATATCACTGCAGATAGTAATTTTCCATCTTTAATTAATTTAATGCGATGTAATATTCAAGGTATGTAATATGTTATAATACATATTAGATTTTATTATTATTTAGTATTATATTTTATAACTAATTAATAAAGATAACATTTTAATAGGTGGACCAACTGTTAGTGGTCTAGACGATCATGATTATCCAAGTTTAAACGGATCATCAATAAATTTGACAAATATAAATCAAATGAAAATACATAGTAAAATTCCGTTGCCATCTGAAGTTATGGAACATTTTGGCCGTATCCTTATAATATTTTATATGTATCGTATATTATATATTTAAATATTTTACAGTCATTTTTATTTTAAATGTTTATTATTTCTTTAATATTTATTTAGATATGCAATGTCATTGTATGATGGGTTTATTCACAGAAATTTCGAAAGCATGGCTTACGATTGACAGCGATATTTATGTGTGGTCATATGAAAACGAGTACTATTTATTATTTTCCTGATAATAAAATAATGAAATACATTAATTGTTTATAATTGATAAATTCTATCTTCTAGAGCTGATGTTGCATACTTTGATGGATTGAACGAGACTATTATAAGCGTTGGCTTAACCAAACCAAAACCAGGCATATTTCAAGGGTATGTCAAATATCTGTTAATTTTGACTACAACAGTTGAAATAACTATACTGGCAGTAATACTGAATGAGAATGATAATGGTAATATATTTCTTCTTTTGCTTTTTTTCTGTTTATTAATATCCTCTTTCATACATGTTTTATGTTCATATACAATGAAATCATTTTATTAACAGGTAAATCAATAGAAATGCAATTGGTACCAGAACCCATTTTTACTGTCACTACTGATGGTATTGGTATAACCACCATTGCCAATACCAATAATGGTAGAATTTTTCTTGGTGGTAGAGACGGCTCATTATTTGAAATATGTTATCAGGTAAATATATTTACAAATTAAAGAAAATAGAAATATTGAAAATATCATTTTCATCAAATAAATATTTGTATGTTGTTTACAGGCAGAAAGTAGTTGGTTTAGTAAACGTTGTAAAAAAGTTAATCATTCTGAAGGGCCATTATCGTTTGTAATACCTTCATTTGTAACTATGGCTTTATCTGAAGAAGAAGCAATAATACAAATTTCCATAGATGATTCTCGTAACATTTTATATACTTTGGGAGACAAAGGTACTATTACCGTTTGGGATATTGATAATGGTGGTGCATCCAAAGTTACATCATTTTCTCAAAGTTCACTAGTTCAAAATACTGTTCATGTTGTCAAGTATGTAATTTTGTATATTTAATCCTTTGCACTCCGAGCAATTTTTAACACGTTTCAGCAACTCCGGGTTATTTTGACCATGACCACTTTCAACTTTCGTTTTTTCGAATTTTACGCTATAGACAAAAATACGATCGAAAGAAATGGAGCAAGCTCGGTCACAAAACCGATTACACACATTAAACGTGTGCCGAAACATTTTCCTACCCGAATAAAGATACAATGTTGCCTCTAGATACCGGCGTGCCATGTTGCCGCAGCGGCGACAACGGAGCTATCAGCTTAGATATCAATGTCGCTTCAGCGGCGACAACGGAGTGCAAAGGGTTAAAGTTCTTTTACAATTTTTATAAATACTCAAGAATTATATATTTATATTTATTTAATAGAACTCTTGATAGTAATAATTTTCGACCTCTGGTGAGCATATCTGCTATAACAGAAAGTGAATCGATACATTTGAATTTGGTTGTGGTGGCAGCTACTGGAACACGCTTTTATTTCTGTTGCACACCACCTTCAAATCCATCGAGCAGACCGCAAGGACTTCAATTAATACATGTCAGATTGCCACCAGGTTATGCTGCCAATGCTCCAGTAACAAGGCCGAAAAAAGTTCAAATGGCGCATTATAGAAAAGGTTGATTAATTTAGAACTTAATAAAATTTTATGAATATTAATTTGTTTAAAAATATTATCTTCATATCATTTATTTTTTTTGTCTACAGGAACATTAATACTTGTCTGTGGTGGTGACACAGAAAGTGCATGGTGTTTAAGTAACGATGCATATCCTTTCACAAATTATTTAGCTGAAACTCAAAGTATCCTACCTCTTGATAGTCCTGTGTGGGCAATGGCAGAAATTATTGGAGAATCGGCTATGAATATGGAAAAATTAAGCACTACACAAGGAGAGCCACCTCTCCTTGTTAGACAACACATGGAACCACCTAGAAAGTTTATATTTTTAACAACTCAGGTATTAAAAATAAATAAATATATTATTTATAAAATCAATTTATGTGTGTGTGTGATTATCTTTTGTATCTGATAATTTTGTTTATTTCTTCATAGGGTGCAATAATTTTAATTCAGGTACGTCCTGTAGATATTTTAAGGCAACTTTTGCTAGAACAACGTGGACCTGATACAGAATCAGTGCGAGCTTATTTTCAATCGCAATCTCCAGAACAAGCATGTGCAACATGTTTAATTTTAGCTACATTAGAATCTTCTCAAAACACCCAGGTATTTTATAAATATATTTATTGCAATTTATATAATGATAATAATAATATATCAAAATATATTTTCTTTTTTTAATTTTAGTTATGTGAATGGGCAGCAAGAGCCTTTTTCTTATATGGTGGGCAAAAAGTATCAGGGATTATTCCTACCATTGATAGGCATAGCAATTTTCCTAATATACATACAGGTATTATTCAACATATATACACTCTGATATAAATAAGCAGAAAAAGATTAATGGTTGATTTTTATTTTAGCAGGAGACCTACGTTCATCGACACCTAGAGTACAAATTTTTGATACAAGACCTCAAACATTTAGGCAACAACCACAAATGGGTCTAAATTCTGATGTTACTTTACAACAATTTTCAGCAAAGCACGGAGGTTTATATTTGTATGTAGGAAGAATACTTCGACCTATATGGAATTTACGTTGTATAAAACAAGAACTTGTAAACAATAAAACTCAGGTAACTAAATAGAAATAAATTAATGTGACCAGATAATATATTGATATAATTCTTGTATTATATTATATAATATGTTACAGATATCTAGTACAATTCCACCTAATCAAATAAGATGGATATTAAATCATCTACAGGCTTTAAGGTTTTTTCTTAACAAAAATACAAATATTACTAAGCAGTATGTATCATATTACACATAAGTCCTATAAATTTAATATAAGCTGTATGTATATTTATCAAATTATTATTATAGACATAATAGTGCGAGAAGTATCACGGATGAATTTGAAACAACGTTACCTAATCTTTATCAAGAACCTATAGTAGAGGAAAGAAATTCTTTGGATGCTCTAAAAGTTTTTATTACTCATGCTTGTGAGGTGTTAGGTTTATGGGAGATTTTATGCGAGAATCAATTAAATAATATTATTAATTGTCTTTCTAAGGTAATTATCGTTTGTTGTGTAAGGTAATTTTCTTATATTTTTTTTCAAATCACCAATTTTGTTTTCTTTCCCCTTTTTCTTAGGATCAAATTAGTCAATTTTCTACAGCTACATTTAGGGATCTAATCTTAATTGGACATGAAATATCATCTTTACTTATCATTCATTTAATTGATAGGTATAACATATATGTTATATGGACCGTTTATTTTGAAAGTGGTGTAAGTCCACTTTCTCTTGTTTCGAGGAAATTAAAGATTAGCATATCAATGATTACTCAATTTCTTTTACCGACCAATTTTATATTGTACAAAACATGGGCACTTTTTAAGAAATTAAATATTAACTAGTTATCCATAAAAAGTTTACATTATATTAAGCATAAATTACGTGATATATCTTTTTTTTTTCTAAATGGACTTACACAACTTTCAAAATAAACGGTCCATATATATTATGTATATACATAAAAAATTGTAATTTTTCAATTACATTTAATTATAAATATTTTTAGTTATCTTGGCGACAATGCATCTGTAGATGCAGTAAGTTCAAGATTAAGAGAGGTTTGTCCAAATTTGTATAGAAGTGAAGATGCAGTATGTTCAAAGGTATGCTAATTGTATGTATATATGTATTATTTTTATCAAAATAATATTGTGGAATATTTAAATTATAATATTTAATCTATATTTCTATATTTTATAATAATTATTATTTTTAATAAGCATATTTAAAACAACCAATTGTAGGCAAATGAAATAATATTGAAAGCAAAAAATTGTAAAAATTCAGATGAGAAACAAGTTTATTTGCAATCTGCATTAAAGGTAAAGAATAATATATATTTCTTATTTATAAAGTTTAACTTAATTTCGATATAAACTAACTATTGATTTCATATGCAGCTGTGTAAAGAAGTAGCACCAAGATTAAATTTGAGTGCAGTGTGTCAGCAATTTGTGGCTTGTCAGTTTTATACAGGAGTTCTAGAATTGTGTATCTGCTGTGCAAAAAGAATAGATCCTCATAATGCTGCATTACATTTTTATAAAAATAATGAACCTGTAGAAGATCAAGAAGGAAATATGGCTTATATAAAACGGTATGGTATTTTAATCATTTTTATTTATCAAATAAAATGACGTGATTACGAATAACAGATTTCATATATGTACATATATAAATATATATCTTTTTTTATTACAGATTGGAAATTTACAAAGAATTTACTTCAATGTTGGATCATATTTTTAATCAGAACATGTCAAGTCCGTTAACACCAACTATACCAAGTAAACCGGGACCAGCTCTAGATAATACTTCCGCTGTACCAATTATACTTACAAAAGACATAGTAAGTTAGTCTAAAATATGATATGTTAATGAAATAATAATATGTTATATCAAAAATCGTAGAGACAGATGGAAAAATAGATGTTGTATTAGACATACATATATATGTACTGTTTGTTTCTGAGAAGAAGTCTCTGGGAGTAACACAGAAAAGACTCATTCGCCTCGTCTATTCCCATCTTTAATACTTGCAAGTCCCAAAAAGTAGTATCTAACAATTAGTAAAAAAGTCGTAAAATCTCTTTATTTAAGATGGACACATTTATGTTTCACGATCAACCGTAGATAAAAAAAAAAAACATTTAACCATCTACTCCAATCAGATCCACAAGAGACTGCTCTTTCTGACAAAGGACTTCTTCTCACAAACGGACAATATATAAATCTCAAGTATGTTTTATTACATGTACATTTCAATAGTATTAACAATATAACATTTTTAACTTAAAATAATGTTATACTTTTAGTTATATGAGATTATAAATGATGCATTACATTCCCCTTGTGAAATACTTCATACTGCGGTATATATATGGATGATTGAAAGAGGACTACACGGAGAACTTGTTGCTCTTGCAGCATCTTCATTAGAAACTTATTTGAGTCGTGTTAATGCACCAGAATTACTTTGGCAATTTTATGAAAGAAATAAAAATCATGCTGCTGCGGCAAAAATTTTAGACTCTTTGGCTACTAAACCTTCGTACGTATTCATACATTTTAATATTTATATTTAATTTATGAACAGTTTATTTAGTCTATGTAAACTAGTTAAAGTCTAAATTTAATATATCATTATAGTTCAGAAATATCATTGTCAGAAAGAGTAGAATATTTAGCACGTGCAGTTGTTTGTATGCGAAGTGATCAAGCTGGTTATGCACCTTATCTTGGAATTTTTTTACGTGAATTAGAAGATAAATTAGAGGTTGCTAGGATACAACAACAAGTAAGTTATATTATCTATCAAATACAAATAATCCATTATTTGTACCTATATATAGATATATAAATGATATTTATATATTTTTTCATTATTTAATAGATACTAGATACGATCTGTAGCCAGCAACATATTTTCGATCCTGTAACTGTCCGTGATGCTAAGTTAAAGTTGAATTCTTCGCTACTCGATATTACACAGGTTTGTAAATTTAATAATATTTGTATTAATAAAATATTAATGTTAAAATTGACAATTCGTGTATTTCTTTTAATAGCTTTATGAGGAATATGCAGAACCTTTAGAACTTTTAGAATGTAAACTTGCTATAATTCATTGCTCTGGACACCAAGATGCAATGTTAATTCAAGGAATTTGGACTAATATAATCAACAATGGTATTTATTTTTAAGATACATATATAGAACACCTATTTCTATTTTAATATTATTAAATCTTTAATTGCATGTTTAATTTTAGAATTAAAAAATGCTGAAGCATCATCTCCAGAAGATAAAATGGCGATTCTAATGACCAAAGTTAAACTTCTTGGACAAGAATATTCGGGATCACCACATTGTTTTCCGATAGGTAGGCAATCCAAAAACATATGTGAAAAATATTAAAAATTTATTAAAGACTAATTAATCAAATACATTAATTCCTCTTTCAGAGTTCTTAATAGAACAATTGGAAATAAAAGCATGTAAATTAAAAACTTCCAATAATTGTATTATTACAATGTTTTTAAAGTTAGGTGTATCGATGGAAGATCTTTTAGATTACTATGATAAGTATGTATAAAATTATTGTGATAAGTATTTCTGTTTAATACAAAATTAAAGTAATATTCATATTATGTAATTACTTTACATTTTTTTTTCTTTTAGGATGATTGGAAAAAATACACGTATTTGGTTAAACAAAGGAAATGAATTTCATTTAATAGATTCTACTGCAAATTTAATCAATTACATTATCCAAAATCAAAACATTTCTAATGCTTTTAATAGGTAAACGATTTTATTCTTATAATATAAAAAGACCATTTTTTTTTTTTATTTATTTAAAATTAACATAAAAGAAGTACTTATCTACTATTTTCCCTTTTTCTTTTGTTTTCAGAGAAAAACTAATAGTTAAGTGCCAAGATGTTGTCTCTAAGTGTCTAACAATTTTATTTAGTAAACCTAATAGCGAACATCTAATAGCAAAACTGAGATCGATGCGAATGTAAAATTGATAAATAATTCACAGTAGGTACAAAATAATATAATGCATAAATAAGTATTTTTTTGGAGAGCTGGACATTTAACACAATAATTTTAAACAAATGTACACCTTCTTAAGATAAGAGCCATATAACTACTTACTGTTATCAAACAGTATGACTGTTTTAAAATTTTTTGTATTTTTTAATGACAATTTTCTTCCAATATATATTATCGAAATATTTTTGAAAAATGATTGAATGTAATAAAAACTGTTTATCATTTCTGCTCATTTTTAGGACACAGAAACCTATTATCCTATATTAACCTAGAATCCTACTTCCTAAGGAAGAATATTATGGCAAAAGAAAAAGATCATGAGTGATTTTGATATAATATCAATATTAATATATATATATGTATATGTATATGTATTATGTTTCAATAAATATTTTTTTGTACGACTTCTTCTTCTTCAGCTTGATATTTATTATTTAATTATAACTAAAATTATTGTATTATTCCTGTAATAACAATAGCAGAGTGATATAATACCTTACACACATCAACCTCATGATATCCACATTATGTCATCAATTTGTGGATCACAATTCGTAAATGTTATTTAAAAAAAAAAAAAAAAAAAGAAGCTGAGAAAACTAAAATATAATAATAAGACAGATTGCACTATGCAAGATATAATACATAATTAGCATAATACACAAATTCAATGAAATAAGATAAATTGAAAAAGTATTACCTGTGCAATCCATAAATTAGAAACATTTTGTATATTCGAGTATATCAATGATAATGAAAGCATATGAAAAAATTCTAAAAAAAAAAAAACAGAAAGGTAATAAGGAAAACGTCTTCTGCCCCATAACTATGCTATGTCTGTCCAATAACTATTTTCAAGAAGAAAAACACCCATAAATAACCACATCGAAATATGAAAATAACATGTAATAATATCATAGTTTAGAATATTACGTGACATACGTGGTTGATATACAAGGTGTTTTTTTTTTATGTAATAGAGAAATGATCTAAACATAACTTTGGTTTAAACGATTTATCGATTAACTGTTCTTACACGCAATTTGAGATATTGTTTGAGAGCTATATGTCTCTTATAAATAGAGCATAATTGAATTTTATTTGTAGACTATCATTTTTATATTAACAATAACAACTTCAGTAGTATCAATTTTGTTGAAGAAAATTGTTAACTAAAACTGAATCGATTGAAATCGAAATTACACAGTACAGAAGGAAAATTATCGATCATTATTTCCTTGACACTCTAAATAACAGTTAAGTAACATATTATACAAAGTTGATATCTCAGATCGATATTAATATCCATAGCTTTCAAGTAAATTCTCGGAGTTGTTCATTGCACTATGGATTTCTTTGAGCAACGATACTACGTATTAAATAAACGTTTCCTGTCTTATTTTGGTATGTGGCCATTAGACAATTCTATAAAAAGTAAATTATTATTCTATTTTGTTATATTTATCTTCTTTACTATGTACGTGCCAGAGGTAAAAAAATATATGCATTTACAGGATGTCCCCATAGTCGTTTTATCAAATTGAAAAATTGTAATCATTTTGTCAGCAAGTATTTAAAATAATCGCATAATGGACTCATACTTTTTTAATAACACTATAACTGAAGGTTTAAATAATAAAATGAAAAACAAAATATTCTAACTTTATTAATAAATTAATATTTTTTTCTTATATATTTTCTTTTTCTTTTTCTCGATTAAGCGACTTTTGGGTCATCATGTAATGTAAATCAATATAATATAAAACAAACAAAATCTTTCTATATAGTATGTCAAATTTATGTTTATTATAAAGTTATTCGTAATATCTATTTTTTTTTATTTTAGATAATTAAAATAATTGAATTAGGAACAACTGATATGGATGCTTTCATTGAATGCATACCCCCTATACTGGTGATTAATTGTTCTATGATAAAAGCATTTAATGTTGGTTATCATATGAATCATGTAATGTTATATATTTTATAATTTAATATATACATGTATAGTATGTGTGTATTGTTTATATTAAAATAAATGATACAGAGAGAGTATATATCTCAGTTTATAAAATATGATAAATATATTTTAAATATTTATTTATTTATTAATTTATTTTAAAATAATAATATTTTATTTCATTCTATAAACATTATTTAATATTTCATAGTTTCAAATGCTTTTAAAACATATCGAAAAAGATTGGAAAGGTTTAACGGATGTTAAAGAAATGGCAATTCTTTCAACATATTCTGAATCCGGCCGTAAATTAACAATATGGTATACGTGTATGTTAAAATTAATGATAAATATTTCAATTGATACAATATTTAATATTAATATTTTTTTTTATGTTCTATTCACAGTTTACATAAGTTTGACAACTGTATTATATTTATCATTGCCTTTATCACCGGTCGTTCTTAACATTGTATCACCGTTAAACGTGTCACGAAAAATGGAGCTTCTTTTTTGTACGGAATATTTCGTAGAAGAAGAAAATTACTTTAATGAAATTTTATTCTACGATTATGCAATTACAATATTAGTAGTTGCAGTTTTAATTGCAACAGACTCACTGTATATAGTATATTCAGAACATGCTTGCGGTATATTTGCGATTTTATCGTAAGTTTTTTTCAATATATTCATATACGCATCTTGTTAAAAAAAGTATGTCATTAATATTTACAATCATTTTTTGGTAGCTATCGATTAAATAATGTAGGTAAATGCAAGAATGTCGACGAAAGATATGACAACAATGTGTTTAATAAAAAAAAGTATTATAGTTACGATGAGATACAGGATGAACAAAATTATCAAGAGCTTTCGTTTTGTGTCAAAAGACATAAATATGCCATTGAGTAAGTAATATATTCTTTTGTTCTTCTATCTCTTCTATATCCTACTTTTTTTTATATACATATATTGATAACAAATTAATATAAATATTTTACGATATTATTTTAATACAATCATTGTATATTACTACTACTGATAACCATTAGAAATGAAAATTGTACTAACTGACATGCAATGTGAGTTCAATTATTTTTTAAAGATACGTTGGATTACTCCAAACATGTTACGCAGAATCTTTAATGGCGTTATTATTAATTAATGTATTAGGCATAAGCATTACAGGAGTTCAAGTAAGTACTTCGTAAGTTTTTCGTAAGTTTTTCCACACATTTTTAACTATAAACGAATTATACATCCTGTTTATATATAAATTAAAATAAAAATATAACAAAAAATTTGTTCTATAAAACTATTTTCTATCTGCAAAAGAGACAAAGTTATAATTCGGTTCAATTAATGAAGATACCCTATATATTTTTTATTTAAGATTTTTCATTTTTTTGTTCTTATTTTTTTCAGACTATAATCAATATAAATAGTTTGTCAAGTGTATTTAGATTTGGTTTTTTAACGCTAGGTGAAGCATTTCATCTTTTTTTCTTAACACTACCGGGTCAAAGGATAATTGATCACAGTCTTAAGGTATTTGAAGATTGGTAAGATAATTGTAGAGAATTTGTAAAAATGTAAATAAATTAAATCTTATAAATAAAAAAATATATATATTTTATATATTTTTATATATTTAGTTATGAGTCATATTGGTATGCACTTTCCACGAAAGGCAGAAAAACACTTGGTTTAATATTATTACGTAGTATGACACCGTGCCAATTAATGGCTGGTGGATTATATTCTATGACATTAGAAAATTTTGTTTCGGTAAGAATTTTTATTAAATAATATAAAATATAATATTTTTATATATTAACTCTTCATATTTTTTCTCTTTTTTTTTCTTTTTATTTATTTATTTAAAGTTAGTTCAAACGGCTATGTCTTACTTTACGGTATTATCATCAGTACGATAAAATCGTATAATTTCTACATAAAAGTGCAACCATAAGCAAATTTAGAGCCATCATTTCGGTAAAAAATTTCTATATATTAAAGTTAATAATTAATTGTAATAAAATTGTAATAAAAGAATTTTACAGTAATAGAAAATATTTAGAAATATATATAAAATATGTATTAATATATACTATATATATTAATATATAAAAATATATATATATATATA